ACTGTAAACTAAAAACCATAATGTTAACTAGGGCCAAAACCTGTTTAAATGACACAGTAGTTGTAATTAAAGCAATATTAAATAAATTACAACACCTTTATTTTGTTAAATGAAGGTTTACGCTGCCTGAAACCTTCTTGAATTTTTTGTATTGATGACATAGGTAGAGGGATTCCGTCTTAGAACTCAACGCAACTTCCTGTATTTTTTTTTTACATTTCTTTTCAACTTTTTCCCCCACCAACTTCCACCTAGCTGATAAAACTATAAGAAAACTGTAAAACTATGAGAAATATTTACCACGGGTATTATCCCAAACACAGCAATAATTTGAAAAATATGAAAACCTGTCCAATGCACTTTAATCATAACCACTGGAGGACTTCTACCCCAAGTTTGAAAAATACCCAAAGCTGAAAGGATGTAAGCGAGTGTGATATCGCAAAATGATCGGATTCAACTTCAGCTTACAGGAGCTGCTGCGGAATTTCGAACAGGTAAAGCAATGAAAGTTTATGCCCTGTACTTTGTGAACTAACACTGTCGCCATTTGTTTCACATCTTCTCACTGGTGGCCCTAATACCTTCTGTTTTATGAGGTCCAAGTAGTTATTATTAGCCTCATTAAAATGGAATAATTGGTTGTGGCCTGCTTTCCGTGTTATTAGCGAGTGCTACCATGCAGAGCCAGTACAGTGCAGAATGAGACTGGGTTCTTGGGTGTAATTTGTCCGAATGAACTCTTCCATTGAATGGGCTCTCACCAGCTCATAACAGGCATTACTCAGTCCAGCAGTCATTGTTTATTAGGATTTTCATTTCGGTGACATTTTACTAGGATGTGTTAAAGCTAGTTTTATTTTCAGACTAGTATAAAACTTGGATGGTTAACTAATGTGAAAGAGATGGATGATGCTGATGCAATGTAAGAACAAATCCAAACTGAACAATCAGGAACTATGGCTCTGTGTAAGTTGTGTTCATGCCATTTGAGAGTTTGAACTGTGGAAAATATACTATAGTTTAATTAAATATGCTGGTAAAGAAGACTTTAAACTTAATGTCTCTTGGCTCTTGTGGATAGGCCCATGAATTACACAGATATTAACAATAAAACAGAACAAAACATTAAGAAATTTTACCATGGAATCACTCTCCAGCTCAAATATTAAAGACTAAAATGTTTAAAATCACATGAACACAAGCTGCTCTCCCACACACTTGGCTACAAGAAAATGTACAAATTCAGTACTTTTTCTTGTAGCCTGTGTTCAAGGGTTTCAGCTTCCTGTTATATGCAACATTTTGCCAACTTTTTGAATTGTTTATCGCCAGAATGACGCCAATCCTAGTTTGTCGTCATTCTGAAACACATGGATTGTTGATTGTAGTGCGGAGCTGGCCTACAGCTGAAGCACTCCGTCATACTTGTGTGTTTAAGCATGTGTCTGTCTCTATGGGAGTTAAAGAGCCCAATCTAAAAGTACAAGGGCCATATTGACTCTAGCCAACAAGAACCATAAATAAAACATGGCTGACCGCAGACAGAGGGCTTTTGTAGTGCGCCGCCTGAAGTGTACCACACACGTCCTTAAGTACTACCTCTGGACTCATATCGACCTGCTCAAAGTAGTCTTTCAGTGAGTCAAATGACATTTACAGAGTCCCTTTGAAAATGTATATGAGGGTCTGTCTGCCCACACTGCCTGCTCCTTCAGAGGTGTGTGCTCAGGTAGTTCAGTGGAAGTGAAAGTGCTAAAAGAAAATAAAGAAAGCACTTGGGTAATGAGTTGAAACACAGCCAGCTGGACGTGCGGCTGACTCAAGCGCGTTGTTCTCTGGCTGTCTCCATGTACGTATCTTCACTCTCTCTTTATGACCTTTTGTTTGATTTATGTCGGGAGCTGCTGGGCGATTATCTTGCAGATCACACGTTTGCTTATGTCTTTTGGAATGTATATCCGTGTTTTTTAGAATGATGAAATATTGGGTCTGTTGCCATAGAAAGTAAGGGTTTAAAACAAAACAAAATTGTTAAATCTTTTAAAAGGTCAGAAGTCCTCAAAATGGCAGCTATTCTTTTTTTGGATTAGAACGTGATGTCATAGTCCCAGATGAGAGGCAAGAGCCAGATTTGTCTATTGAATACTGTAGTGGACCAAACAGAAAAGCAAAGAGAAGGTATAGAAATAAGTTTACATTTAATAAAGTCAAAAAAAGATTAGGTAAATTAGGTAAATCATTAACAAAAAGCTGGGCCCAACTGGGGTAACTTAAAACAAACAAAACAGAACAAAACCAACCCAACCAGACAAAGGAACAGGGGTGTTTAAATCCATGAGGTCCAACTAAAACTGAACACAAGAAGGGTGAATTACACTAAATAATTAAGTAAAACTACTAACTTCATCAAAATAATAAGAAGGCAAACAAGTATAATACAGGAAATAATAAGTGATAAAAAGTGACCATAAAACAAACTAGACAAACAAACTTAGAAAAACAAACTAAATAGTGCTCCCCCTTGTTGATTCATGGATGGTCTCTGCCGAGAGTCCTCCAAACAAAAAGGAAGAACAAGTGTATGTAATAAATAATTTGTGCATCCGAATTAGACTAAGTCTAAATAAAGTAATTAAATTATGTGCTGTAATTAATGTAAATTAAATGAAATAATACTAACACTGTGGAGTGGTGGCAGAGGTATCCACCAAAAATACATTTTACTTTGCAATGAAATATCTAAAAGGTAAACAAATACTGAACCTTTCTTTTACTGACTCATGGGGGTAGTCCATCTATACTTGCGTGTAGGATCAAACATATGTCGATATCCCTTTCATAGAAGTGACATTAGCAAGATACATGGCATTTTTCAGTATTAGTATTGGTTTATTAATAGTTATAAGGTTAATAATATTAATTACTTGCAAAGGCTTAGAATCGTATAGCTCATGCATATTCTTGTCTTATAGTTAACTTCTCATTCTAAAGCATTATCGATAAGTCCTCAAGACATCAGTGTCATTATCTCCAAGGCAACAGCTATACTTAACGAGGTCACATGTTTAGTTAAGTGTAGCGCATGACAGCAGCTCACATGTGTGGCATTGGATTTCCACTTGTCTATGTGTTTTAAAGTTCCTATATTACACAAAACGGATTGTAGTGATCTTCAAGCCGGGTTATAATTCTGTTACCTCATCAGAAACATACCTGGAGTTGTGTTTTGTTTCATTTGAGTAACACTTTGAGTAACCCCTCCAAAATGCTTAAGTTAACAGCTACCTTTTAACTTTAGTCTGCCAATTCTAGGGCTGAAATCATCCAAGTGATTTTAGTGAAGTTGTATGGCGTTTAAAAACACAGTGGAGCACTTCCTATATTACTATGACATCACAAAGTGGGTTTTTTTTCAGTCTGAGAGAAAAATTCAGCCTAAATATGCAGTGTCTGTGTGTTATACATGTGTGAATGAATGAATGAATGAAAACATAACTACAGGTTTTGATGAGGAAACAGTATTATAACTTCAATCAGAAAACAGTGTAATGTGGACACTTTAATGTATAAATTCTTTTTTAATTTCAACAACTTCAAACTGGCTGTCCAAAGGATTGTTTTTCTTTCTCTTTATCTAATGAAACTTGTTAATGGCATCCACTCAGACTCCAGCAACAGCCCAACGATGAATACAAATAAACAACTCCAGGCTCTCAAGATGGCCCATTTCACGCCCAATGACTGATATTACTCTTTATTACTTGGCTCTAGAAGGATATAGGTCTCATTACATTTGCTTATCACTGCTAATTTTACCCCATTTGTTAGCTGTGTCTGTTAGCTTCCGGCGGGTTTTCCACACTTCCATATGGCGTCAGAGCCCAGTCCTTTATCCGTGGGTGAAATTGGCTGAACGGAGGGTAGTCCCAGCAGAGAGATAGAGAGAGAAACAGAGGGAGGGAGAAAGATAGGGGAGAAAATAGAGCAGTTTCACACTTCTAAAAATAAATTTGACAGCATCTTGTGTTTGCGTCAGGCCCCCTTGTGGTCCAGATCTCACATTCAAAACCTTGTACAGTTGTAATACTGGTCGTGTTTTGGGTATAGCGAAATAGTCTTTTGCCACAGCAAGTTTTACAAATGCATCACTGCCTGCTCATTGAGGCAGCATAAAGTAAGTGCTATTACCTAATGCCTAATGTGAAGTCTCTGTGGTAGTTGCTTCTGTTTTGGGCAAGCCTCCAGCCATAAAAAGCTGAAATGTATTTGGTTTTAGTGAAATGTCAAAAATACCTTGAAGCATTCTTTGGTTATATAGTTATGCGCAAAAGTTTTACAATACCAAGGCAAAAAACATCAAAATAATCTTAAGTGATCTGTTCCATGGATTTTTATTTTGATTATCATAGAAATGATCTTCTGTTTTTATTTATTCACTGTAATATTTCTTGGAATAAATGTTTTGGTAAATATATAGTTATTTATATGCATTTATGATATTAAATGTCCAGTTGTTTTGCACCTATAGGAAATATAATTACACTTTATGGGGGCAGTCTAGCCTTCTTTCTTTGTGGGAAACTTGATATTAAAAATAATACAGTATTGGGTATCATGGGCACAATTGTTTCCACTGCATGCATCATCACTACTGTTTGATTTTTTTCCTCCTTGTATTTCTAGTTTCGATTAGGTGTCTTTTTTGTAACTCTCTCCATCAATCATCATATTTGTTTGTTCTGAAAATGTGATCTTTTCATTATTTTGCACAGTATTGCATTGGCTGTCCTCTGGAGAAATTCAACATTCAGCAAATTCCCAATAGACCAGTGTTTGCAACAAAATGCAACAACACACTTTTGACCAATAAAAGTCGAGCCAAAAACCTGTCCAGTTTGATTTGAGACTTTGTTGATAAAAATGTATGATTATGTTGCCTCTGCCCGCTGTCAAGTCTGATATGATGAAGTGCTAACCTTTTGTCCATGTGTTTGTAGGACATCCAGGCTGAGATTGATGCCCACAATGACATCTACAAGAACGTGGAGGGGAACAAGACCAAGATGGTCAAAGCTCTGGGCAGCTCTGAGGAAGCTGTGTTCCTGCAGCAGAGACTGGATGACATGAACCAGCGCTGGAGCGATCTCAAGACCAAGTCTGCCAATATACGGTCAGTCACTATTTCAGGAGTTGTAATTATTTTAGCTCAGTAGTGTATGACAGACAGCAAGTCTAAACAAAATAAATAAGTGGTTTAAAAATACAATTATTTGAAAAGTTGTAAAGGGGCAGTATGTAACTTTTCTGTTGTAGCCATTTCCACACTATGGTTTTAAACTCAATATCTCATGGAGACTAGTAGATGACACTACCAAGTAAAGTCAACTGTGGAGAGATGACAGGTCACAGTAATCACAACTAGCATCCATAGAGTTATATGAAACATTTTATCTTCAAAAGAATTTTCTTCAAATGCATTTTCCCCTCTTAGAAACATAAGGATCACAGAAATGCACAGAAGGGTTTTTTGATTTTTTGAATTTATGTGAGTTAACTACAGCAGAAGTTTCAGTTTTTCCCTATTCACCCGCATTGTCTCGCTCTAAGGTGTTTTAAGCTACAGCTGAGAAACACTTATGATTGAAGAAAGTGCAATGCCATTATTCTTCAACACTCAAGGCAAACAATAAGATCTTCATGAAGACAAGTTGGCTGTCCACCCGCTATCAAAATAGCAATTACGTGACTGCACCTTTGAACCTTTTCCTTTTGAATTCTCTTTTTTATGAGATTACATATGTCGCTATATTAAGGTACGTATTGGAGAAGTGTCTTGCCCAACAATATAGCAAATATATGCGCTTGGTCTTAACTGACATTAAACCTCTGTTTGAGTGAAAAACATAGCTTGACTGTAACTTTATGTTGTACATTCAGTTCGAGTCATTGTGAGGGTTTTCATATGTCCAGTTCATAGAGTGGTTTTTGAATTAATTGAAAAAATTCTGTCAACACAATCAATTTGAAAATATAAGATTGGACCTAGCTAAAGTATGATACAATTCCTTCAGTGGTAAAAATGTTTGTCTGTATACAAACTGTTTCAAAGCCTCATATTTTTCTTTTCCTTACATACAAACTAAACAGAAATGTACATTCCATTTTCACAAAGAATAAATAGGCAACTTGCACATACCATGTAGCATTTTTCTAAAGATTTACAGTGAGACACATTTTTGTCAAGTAAGAATTATAAAGTATTGTGTTTGTCGTTTTCAACCTCCAGCCCTAAAGCGTGAGATTAAAATAGATACTTGAAAGGAGCCCAGAGGTGCATTGCTTTTAACTTCTGAAGACACTGTTCGACTTCTTCCACCATTAGGCATAAACAGGACTGGTAATCTACTGGGACAAAGAGCCTGAAGAAAGAACAGGTGAGAGTGGAGCTGACACTGCCATATGGAGATATACACAAGTAAAGAGCTTCAGAGGAGCAAGGCATTAGGGGCAAATGAGATAATGCTTAAGTGCCATATAGCAGCTATAAAAAACAATACACACAAAATTAAATTTCACAATGGTTTCGATAGAATTCTGTTTTCTCACTTGAAATGTAAAACAAACTGGAACCTAATGTTCTTTGATAATTTGGAGTATTCTTTTGCTTGCCTTTTTCTTCAGATAAAACTTTATAAACAAAGTAAACAAAATGAACAAAACACATGCACAGCACATGCAAACACGAAAGGGTTTTATATATATATATATATATATATATATATATATATATATTTTTTTTTTTTTTTTTTTTTTTTTATATATATATACACAAACCGACCTCCTCTTAAAATAAAGCATGTAACACTTTGGCTTTTCATTGCGTGTAATCTTCCCTGTGCTTTGTGGCAAACTACCACAAAAGTGAATCATTTCTGTTTCAATTTTGCTTTGGTTAAACTATAAACAATAAACATATTTAAGACAAAAACAAAGAAATAGACTTGAGAACTGCTTGACAGCGACGTTAATGTGTGGGAGGAGAGGTGTGCGGTGATTGCGAACAGCCCATTAGCCCTAATCGCTGTACATGTGTAATTAAGGTTTTCTCTGTCAGCACCAAGAGCAGGTGTCTATACTCTGTGTTCAGGTACATTATGGACATAGGAAGCATAAGTGCCATTAACACATCTTACATGTGCACTGTCATTCAGACAATTACCGAGGGAGACATTTTCTCCAGAGGGGTTAAGTTTAAAAGATCTATCAAGGTTTTAAAAATAGCATGCTTTATAAACACCTTATTTTTCTAAGTGCCACACAGTGTATAAGAGATGTTGCAGTTACAGTCAAAATGTAAATCAATATGTACATGTAATAGACCTTAACTCTGGATGCACTAATGTTTATGATGGAAGGATCTGCATATGCTTTTCTCCATGGAGATTTTATTACCTTTGTCTGTTCCACGGTTATTTAAGTTATTTTAAAGGTATTTTAAAGGTGCTAAATATGAACACAAGAACAATACGATGATGCCATACTGTAGAAAATTACAGGAAAATCCATAGCATCTCTTCAAAGACATGCGAGTGGCAGACACACCAGAAAATTTGCATTGTGCTCATTTAATACACTATGATTTAATACACTATTGCCTTAATGCTGTCATTATGGTGACCAGATTATAGTTAGACAATATTAGACCTGGTGTTTGTATTCATTTGCCTGTGTCTTGTGCAGGGCTCACCTGGAGGCCAGTGCGGAGCGCTGGTCCCGGCTGCTGGGGATCCTAGAGGAGCTCTGGAGGTGGATCTGCTCCAAGGACGAAGAGCTGGCCAAACAAATGCCCATAGGAGGAGATGTGCCCACTTTACTACAGCAGCAAAACCACTGCACGGTACGTTATGGCGCAATGCAATTTGGATGTTATCTGCTCACATCTGCTTTTTTACCTTTTTTTTTTATTACTTCATTTACTACTTTAAATCAGTGTTAAGCCCAAAGGTATTATTGCCTTCGGCTCTACAGACTTTGGGAATGGCTGCTCTGTAGTATATACTTTAGTGTCAAGGCCATTATGTCACCATTAAGTGATGCTTTACCTAATTTCTTTACATTGAGTGCAGCCTTATTGTACTATATTTTATAGATAGGCCAGTGGTTAATTTCTAAAAGTATTAATCAGCAATATATATACAATAAACATAATCTAGCAGACACTATGTAGAGCTGTTCTGCATTTCGCAGTAGTATTAGTACATAGTATTTACCACAATGTACCACTTTGGATCCAGGGCATGGGTAAAATGACTACTATTATTGTCTACTATTGTCACCCCCAGTCACAGTATTTCTGCTGCATTATTTATTGTAAGCCGTGGTTGTTTTGTATGTAATTGCTGTGAGAGATGACTCACCCTGTGGCTAGTGTTTACTCTCAGTCCATTGGCCTCCACACTGCTCTCAGCTCTTGACATTGTAATGTGTTTCTCTGTTGCCCATTCACTGCACTATTATTTCAGTCACAAAATGGTCTGAGAGTTTTCAGTCATTTTCTAGACGTGGAATCACAGCCTCTTGTGACAGAAAAAACACTCCAGCTGTCAAATAGAAGTGTTGAGTGTATGTTGTTGTCATGTTCTGATGCTTCTCAACAAATATGAATATAATTACAACTGCAGTTCATTTCAGAAGGTCAGGTAGGTCAAATGGTGCCATATAAATACCGTGGGCGTTTTAGGGTTAATACTTGTGAGTGTGATTAAAATGTGAAATTAAATAGAATTTGATATTTGCCACAGACATTTTTTTTTTTTTAAATACACAAATTATCTCACATTACAACCTAAACGTACATTCATGTGCGTTTTTTACTCAGTTCAATTTCCACTGTCCAAAGTCAACTGCTATATTTACTATATAACCAGATATATGAACAAACACAGTAAGTTGATTACAATGCAAGGCTTCAATTTTAACCTCTACTATTGGAGGAAAGGTGTTAAAATTTGTATTTTGTGGTAGCCTTAGCAGTTGGGAGTTTTATTTGAATTATTCTGGACATGGATTGGATTCAAGGAGCAGAAGACCAGTTTCTTTGCTGTTGTATTATAGTAGTTGCTGTCCAAACTGTGAGGTAAAAGTTGAAAGCTTATACTGAAGTGTAATTTACAAACTTTTGACCCATAATTGATCTCAGGTGTTATTCTAAAACAAGATACAGATGCCATAAATTTTTCTATCTGCAAGTTGACAGCATTATTCCAATCAAATCAAACTTTATTTATAGAGTGCTTTTCATACAAAAATGCAACACAAAGTGCTTATTATTAATGCTGTGAACCTGATTTCACCTTTGTAAAAATGCATTATGTTATTACGGTAAGTGCTAATATTTTCCATTCAGACTTGGTCTTGACTTCATAGGGACTTGCATCATCACCTCTTCAACACCCCATCTTCAGAAAAATATGAAGGGCATCTACTGTCCTTGAAAACTAAAAATTTTTAAAAGTACATATAATTTTGGCTCACTTTTGTCTATTTATTATAATGGATATCTCTTTAGTGACCCTGAAAAAGACTTGAGCTTTGAAAATAGCACTAAACCCTTGTCCTCTCTATTCCAACACATGCACTTAGTCATACCATTATTCAACAGCAGCACCTGTCATAGTGAACTACAGGGAGTCAGTGAGGCAGGAAGGACTTAGATGGTTAAGTGGAAATACCTGTCTGTGTTATAGGGGGCTGGTGGAGATAAAATTGGAAAGCTTGTGCCACTTATAACATTGGACGATAGTGGAGATTATTTAATAAATTATGAAGTGGTTGTGAGTTATGACAAATTATACCCATATTCAAAAACTAGGACAATATTGGACCTTCTCTGAGTAGTTTAAGGATAATTTGGATCTGCATTAGAACAAGTATAAGACCACATGTTTTATTATCATTCATAGTATAAAAATAAATATCAGGAATTAAAGGTCCTATATTACAAAATATTTAGCCTTATGAGCTTTAAGCCATGTTCTAATGTTATTACCTCATCAAAAACATACCTGGAATAATGTTTTGTTCCATATACACATTTTTAGTAATCCTTTATTAGAGCTCAAAATGTTCTCCTCCACCTTATGATGTCATGAAGTGGTTGTTTTCAAGTTCTCAAGAGCTCAGCCTAAATATGTAAGATTTTTGTGTCAAACTTGTGAATGAACACTAACCAAACACTACTCCGTGTATGTGTTTGATGAAGAAACAACATTATAACATGGATCAGAAAATAAAGCTTTTCTTAGTATTCAATTTAAGTTTGAAAATTTTAGATTGAAAGACACAATTTTAGATTTAGGAACTAGGTTCTGGTTCATTAATTGCAAACTCCAAATGGACATCACACCAATGAAGTCAGCGTAAACTGCTTCTAGTGCTTGGAAGTGTTTTTATACTGTGTTGAATTGGGTCATGTAATCAAATACTTATAAAAGTGGTTATCAGATCTATCATATCTTGTGTTTGGCAAGCTGTATCAAAGCAGCAATGGTTAAATCATATGTGAACTTGTGAATGTTTTCTAGTTGGGCTCGAATAATAGTTTTTTAATTCACCCCAATTACATTTTAATTGTTTTTTGATCACTCTCAGCTTATGAACGCTCCATGCATGTAACACTCTTTGATTCCTTTTTGTATTTAATTTCTATGCCAATTACATCCCCCAAACAAACTTTTAAGATTGTTTACAAGCCCTCTTTCCTCTTTATTACAGCTCACCATTTTCCAGTTTTTTTTATAGCATCTGTAAAAGTATAAAATATTGAACATTTTAATTATGGATCTGAAGTGCTTTATCATAGTCCTGCTGATTAAACCCAGCTCAGTGAATAGGCCCTTTTGGATCAGGAGCTTACGGTTATTATAACAGCTCTTATCTTCAGAGTGCACACAGCGTTTTGTCTTTGGCCGAAGTATTAGACCAGACGAATGGGTCCAAGGTGGTCCCCATTTAAATGAGTTGGTTTTCTCAGCACTTTCCATATGCTAAAATAGCCACACTATTACCCCGTCTGGGCAGGTGTAACGGTAACAGCATCTTAATCATTGTGCCTGGATGATGGATTGGTATCATTTGTTCTGGAGTGGACAGGTCATACAGAAGAAATTCTTTTCAACGCCCCCACAGCGAGTGTCTGCCCAAGTGTCAATCTGTTAGGAACTTTTAATTGTTTTGTTGGTGGTGATTTTGCTTTTTGCCAGCACTTTTTGACTCTTTTGTAATTAAATTGAATTCTAAGTAATGTTAGTAGTAAAACCTGCTAAGGATGGTAAAGATGTGGCAGAAAATTCCCTTTGTGAAAACTTAAATCTACAAATAATAAAATGTATTTTTGTTTTATAACTTAAAGGCACACTGTGTAACTTTTTAAGAAGGCCCGATATCAGTTTGTCTCCACAAATATGTTAATGTTTAGCCCGGAATGTTTCACAGCATGGCATTAATCTGCTCTATCTCCATGGAAACAAGCCAGGTTAGATCTGTGCAGTGGTGAGCCAGCTCACAGTAAAAATCCATGTTTTTCAAACCATTTTGAGCAATAAAATTATATGTAATTCAGTGCAAGATCTAAGTTTTGTGCCATATTGTGGAAAATTGCAGGTAAATCAATAACCTCCACAGAGACAAAGCAGGTGGCAGGCTACCCATCACAAAACTGTTAAAGTGCAAATGCACTTTTTTATTCAGTCCCAAAGACATATCATGTCCCTTTCTAAGTTTCCCAACCCAATTTGTGCCCTCCTGTTTGAATCTATCATTTCTGTATTCGGATATGAAGAGGCTATACATTTTGTTGCTGATTTTCCTGTCAGAAAAATGGCTGGTGTGAGGATCTGCAAACAGTTAGATAGCAGTTTTTTGAGTGCAGAGAAAAGGGTGTCTAAAAGTAGCCGTGTCATGATGTTATCTCAGTCCATCCACAGCAGCGGGCCCACAGATAAGGAGAGGCACAGACAGACATGTCTGCTCAAAACTTAAGGTCAATGTCACTCAAGAGCTCTTTCATGCTCAGCTCTCCTGTCTCTATAAAATTCAGACAATGCACATAAAGAGGGAAACTATTACAAAAGACAAAGTAAAGATTCACCCTTTTGTCTTCTACAGACTGTTCACTCTTATCACTCAGGGCCAGCTGGGATTTTAAGGAAAGAAAATGTTCTTTTAACTTGAAAGCTCTTCCTCCTTTGATATTGTCCTCTCTCACTTGTACAAATCTGAACATGCAGTTTGATCCCTGACTGAACTCTGAATCAACCACTTGATGACACACTATATAGAAATGTAATAAATCCTTGTCTTTTGACCTCATGATGGGCATTGGTGTGAAAGATATCATTATCTACACAAACCCTGGCATGCCATAAACTATTATTTTGAAGTAAGATTTTCCCAAAGTTTCTTGAAACTGTTTTAGCTATTTTCTTATGTCTTTGCTAAATTCTAGTTAAAGTCACAGTATGTAGCAGTAGGTTTTTTCTTTTTTGGCTGTGTTTATTACACTGAAAAACATAGAAAAACATGCATCCTTACTTTACACAGGTTTGCATATCCTGACCCTTATTTGGCCTTCCCCTCCTTGTTTCCATCAAAATGTTGTTTCTTTGGTTATAACTTAGTTATAATTTTCCACAGTGAAACATATCTCCATGGAGAGTATAATGAAGTATGGTTTTAAATTTCCATTTCTATGGGGTCATGTAGGTGACTTGCTACCTCTAGAAAGTTACAAACAAAGGTGTAGATTTGCATAGGGATGGTGGGGACATGCCACAACCAATATTTGGGGAAGACAAAATAGTCCCTACCCATTTTATTTTAATAAACAAAAATATACATTTATTCTGATATTTTTCCAAACTCAGTAGTATTAATTTAACACGTTAGTTCATATTTTGTTTATTAGATGTTCTGAGATGTATTCAGTGATATGACGACAGGGTTACCCTTGCCACTATTTCATTGGCTGCAACAGAGTGATGTCACTAGTTGTGCCAGGAGCGTAAACTGGGGAAGTGACAGGACTGTGCAGCACCTGAAGATGGAAGAACTTTTCAAAAGGAACTTACTTGACTTCATCTTCAATTAAGCTTGCCTTATAATAAAAGACTTTATTGACAATATTCCATGGAAAAATGTATGGACATTACCTCACAAATATCTCATCACCAACAAGGAAAGGGAAATCTGCTACAAACTTCTACATCGCTGTTCTCCGAAAATGTGTCACATATGTAGTTATCGCTGTATTTTTGTAGCAGTTACCCAAAGTTGTAGTTGCACATTATGTAATAGGAGCATATAAGATGTTACGGCAATTATAATGCAAGTTTCTCACACAATTGCTGCTGAGTTTTTTCTAAGTTTGCCATTTGCCAGAAATGTTGCTAAGCCTCCTTTTATTTTAAGAGTCAGCCAATTTATTTTGTATTGAATCTTTGTTTACCCAAATCTCATATTATTATTCTCAGCAGAGCAGTAAACATATTCCACAAACAACCTCTTGGCACTCTATTCTTTCTTAATCCACTATAAGCCAGTAACAAATCAGGATGACTGCAAAACTAAAGCTGGGAAAGCCTAAAGTTGCCTTATGTTGTTGGAAGCTGTCCTCACTCAGAGCTAGCCCAACCATTTCCCCCCATCACATCTCATTTAGTTTCTATCTCTCAAGGTCCCTCCTCGGCCTACCTGCCCATTACGGCTTCTCCATACGAGCTGTGAGGAAATCATTGGAACGGAGCGCACCATATATTAGGACGGGAAGATCTAATTTGTGTCCACGGGAGGCTTTCTGTGTCCCACTCTGGAGTTACACAGTCTAAAAGTGCAACTTCAATTTGATAGAGGCATATTTCTTTGGAGACGAGCGCTGTCTCTTTCACTTCAATCACTGTATGTCACAATTTGATCATCGCGAGCTGGCATCCACATCTGAGCTTTATTACTTCTACCGCACGGTCAATGTACGCACGTGTTGTGTTGCCAAATAGAATTTTTGGCAACTCATTTTAGCAAGATGTGTGCTCGGTGCAGGATGACACCAAAAACGTCCATTTTGTCTAACAAACTTGCTTCAAGCTCCCAAGCATTGAAAAACTTTGGCCTACTATATTAAACTACTACTTTATATTACATTTTTGGATAAAATGTATATTTGCTTTCTAATAACAACAACAAGCTCCAATCTATTTCACAATTTTTTTTTCTGTTTATTACTATGGCAACATTTATCTTGTCTTCAATTATTAGTTATGTTATGTCAGAGTTTAGATTCGTGGATCCTTTTTTGGCCCCATCTGTGTGTATAGATAAATTAAAAAATACTAATAATTCTTAGTTTGTATATCAAAATGTTGATCTTGGTGTGCAAGCATCCACTACTTAGTCTGCCTCTGCCAATTTGCACGACTGAAAAATATGAATATCTGATGTTTTTATTTTGACAGGTTTGATCACTCTGTCTGTGCTATCAAAACATCTTTTACTTTATGCATTAAAAAGGGGGTATTATGCAAAAATTTCAGCTTTCTACGATGTTATAATGTTCCCTCATCAAAAACACGTCTGAAGATGTCATCCATGCATGTTTCTGTTATTTAGAGATCACTCTCTTGAGTCAAACCCTCAGTATGGTAGGCCAATGCTCAGTCCACAAGCCTACGTCATTCATGTTCCCACACGGCAATTCCTCGTGAATATACATAAGCATGATGCAAAAATTATCACAACAACTTGACAAACGAGATGCAATGTGCAGTAGTTTCATTAGTGGGGTGTTTATATGTTGTTTTCTGCAAATATAGCAATCAAAAGGTAACATGATCTAAATTTGTTACGTGATTTGATTTCAACCAAGTCCCCTGAGGTAAACTTTTCATAAGCAATATTATTACATGTACATACTGCTGCTGTTTACCCAATTATTTCCCATTATAGCTAATATAATCATCAAGTATCCTTATTGCTCTCCAGTGCAGGAGACCATATGTACTTTTGTCTCAGTAATAGTAATTCACGTGGGGCTGTTAGTGTTAGCATCTGCCTTTTATTCAACAAATCATTTAGCTTATTTCAACATCCAACCCAAAGGAGATGCCCGGTCTGACCCTGTTCTCTTTTTCACTGTGTACTTAGCCTTGTGTGCTTTACCTGCTAATCCTCTTGTCTCTTCTATCTCCTGTGTTTTTGCTTTCCTTCATAACAAGCCTTGACGAATTTTGTTATGCAGCAATCACCTAATTAGTCTCCCAGAGTGTTGTTTATCTTGCCTATAAGCCTGTCATAAACATCTGTTCTTATTCTTAAATCTGTCAATGTGTATAATGATGCAAGGATTGCCGTAAATTAACCATAAGTGAACGCATTGTGAGATAATGAGGCATATTTAAGTTGAATGTGAGATTTGCACCTCCTTCAGAATGTTTTAGGTTCACAGAGAGTTCATGCACATTTCATACCTGCTGGGAAATGCATTAATCACCCTTCCCCAAATACCAAAAGTCAAAAGAAATCCATTCTCTTTAATATTGAAATTATCTTTTTGCTCATTAACTTAATACAAGATGTCTTAGCCTCATATGCTGACTATGTTATCATGGCGGATGTTAATTAAATAGTTCTTCCCTTATGTATGACTTACAGGCGCTGCAGACAGAACTAAAGGAGCGAGAGCCTCTGGTGATTAGCACTTTGGACCAAGCCAGGACGTTCCTCGCGGACCAGCCCATAGAGGGACCAGGGGAGCCTCGAAAGACTTCACAGCAAAAGATAGGTCTGTATACACTACTTATTACACTGTGACCTATACACATGAATACAAGTAAAATATGTATTGTTTCTACTTGTGCCTTTACCAATAAATTTGAGATATTTATACTAGAATGGGAGAAAAAAAAACATGTACTGTATTGATCAGTCCTGAAAATTCTAATCTTGTCTTATTAAAAACGTATATAAAAAATAGATTTCAGTATAATTTCCTTTATTTAATGACATCAACGTAATACATGCTGATTTACCCCTCAAAAAGTCAAATTTCTTCCTGAAAGTCTGAACTCTGCTTCAAACTGATGAGGAGGCTGTGGACCTCTCCATTAAAAAGACCCAAGCTGATCATTGACAATTAGCAATTACTGAATCTCAATCTTGACGAAATTTGGATTAATTGCACAGCCCTAATAGCAGTGATGTGAAAAACACTTTTGCGAAGCACTCTGCATATGTAGCTGAAAAGAGCTAAAAATATTGGAGCAGTTGTTTTGTGTCGTTCTACATTGGCTTTAGTTCTTCTATCTTTAATTTAAAAAGGCATTATCTTGGTGATTTATTGCTTGATTCTACACCAGAGCATCTTACAATTCATTTTTAACCACCTTTTACTTACCAAATGATTGTCCAAAGCAATAAAAACTTTGAGTCCCACTTTTTGGCCCATAGGGGAGCCCGTATTTGATCCAATCTTCAAGTTAAATGGCCTCGCTGTTCTCATATCCAAACCGGTGGTACTATCAATACATCCAGGGCATGAATTAGAGATGGGCCTGCCTCATTCAGCATTCCTCCTCTGTCTCTCTTGGATGCCGCGAAGAAGTCTTGGTTATGTCAGCACATTTCCTTTCAAACCCAAAGCCTACTGTGTAAATAATTGAAACGACTCTGGGGGGCAGTGCAGGGGTGTGGCATGACTTCAGAGCGCAGGCCGTGTTGTCTGTGATCTCCCATAAGTCACTCTGGCCCCATTGTATATTGATTGATACGCAAAATACGAGGTCCAACGCTGCATTTTCAATCAGTAAAATTTATTTTCCTTAGCTAAAACATATTATTTTTTCACGTTTTGAAAGTTGTGTTTTGTTAACATTACATTACCAAGGGAACGGTAAAAGCATTAGCCCAGAAATGTGTTTTAATGGATTCAGCTGAGCATCATTTTGCACTGTTTTTCCTTTAGAACTTCTCTAGCCTATAAAGAGAAATACAGAAAAAATAAACTAATAATTGATAATAACTACTGCTCCTGATAGGCTGTCCCAGTGGTATCAAAGAATGGGTCAAATACAGAGTACTCATTTCTTTACAGCTTTAAAGTATACCTTAAAGTTGAGTTACAAGATGGTATTTGATTAGTCCATTAAATTTATTACGATTACAAGATGGAACATAAAAGCGTCTGTGAAAGCCAGATATACGACTGAAATGATTTTTTTTTGGCTTTTAGTTAATGCTTATTTTTACACATTGCTGCATTTGATTTAACAGTTTGATATTAATATAGTTGCTATGGTATGTTCATAAGTAGTAGCCAGATCTTAGTGTCTTACTATTTGAGTATAACCTAAAGGTCTTATATCACGCAAAATTGATTCTTGTGAACTTTAAGATGTGTTAGAATGTTGTTACCTCCTCAAAAACAGCCTGGAGTTGTGTTTTGTTTCAATCCCACATGTTTGAGTAACCCTTTATTATGAGTCTGTTTACATCTTCAAAGTTCATAATGCTCTGTTCCACCTTGTGATTTCATCAAGGAGTTGTTTTCAAGTTAACAGCTACCTTTTACTTTTAATGCAGTGATTGGCAATTCCAGGGTTGAGCTCATCCAAATGATTCTAGTGAAGGTGTATAGCGAGTGTTTTCTATTTGAGAGAAGAACTCAGCCTTAATATGCTGGGTTTGTGAGTTAAACTCGTGTGAATGAAACAAAACCTCCAGTTATTTTTTGAAGAGGTAACAACATTATAGCACATCAGAAAATAGGCGCTTCCAAATGTATAGTATTCAGGGCAGCTTATGAATAGCATCTTTTATTACGCAATGATTTGTAATTCTAGTATTTTTTGCCTACACACGTGTTACGACCCAGCTCTTTCCGCCACAGAAAAACCATATGCTGCAGGTTACACAGTGTTAAGTGTGAGCTTCCTACTGGCTGAGAAATTGAAATAGTCTCGCTGTAACAGGTGAAAATGGTAATGGAGCCTGTGCCCTGAAGACGAGACCCTGGAGCCCATGAAAGCAGCACACATTTCTTTGTAGTAAAAGGCGGTTCTTCCAGAGCAGCTTTTGACTGCTCTGTTTCTTTGTCTGACTTCTGGGATCTGTCATAATTATCTCATCCTCTCACCTCTCCTGTACGGCTCATTCCTCAAATCCGAATACCTCTTATAGTCATTTCCTTTGGTCACTTTCATCCTCAAACTCGCTCCAACTGCTTTCTCATATTCCTCCCTCCGCACCCTTTTCCGATAGTAACCCTCCTTCCTGTCTATGTTTCCTCGCCTTTTGAACTCTCTTCTGCCTCTCCCTTAATTTATTCCGCACCCTGTTCACCTTAAAAACTTCTCTTGTGCTTTTTTAGGGAGTAAAATAACATCTCGATGTAACAACAAAAGTTTGAGCGTTAATGGGTTTTAGAGACTTTCGTAGTCAACGCTGAACTTTGCACTTTCTAAATACTTTTTCAGATTTTCTTATAGCCCTGACAGTCAGACTTCACGATATTCCAAAAATTTGCATGTGCAATCAATACAATAGAATAGAGCAGATTGCAGTTTTTGGAAGTTTAATTATTATGATATATATCAGTCATATTATTCATTGATAATCTTTTTTTTTTTTTTTTTTTGTTAATGGATTGATAGGTTTGGAGTTCAGTTTACACAAAGAACATACAGTATTTAATGTGTGGGCAAGTAGTTGTCAGGACTAAAATCACACTCAAAATGGTCTTTATTGTTAAATTAATGGTGTAATTTTCAGATATTGGTTAATTTAGGTTAGGATTTATGCTTAGGTCAGGCAAGTAGTGATTATGGTTAGGGTCAGTCTCCAGGAATTGTATGTAACTGAGCTTAATGCCTTGAGCAAGGAAACCCATTTTTCTGTGTATGTTATGTTGCATCTGGGATATATTTTTTCAAGCTGTGTTTTATTGGAAGAGTCAATCTTGTTTATGTCCATGAACCTGTTTTTTAAAGCCATATTTATTTGTTTTGTTTTGTTTTTTTAAATCATGTTTCTTTTTTTTTCTTTTTCCCTATTTAAGATTAATGAACATGTGCTTTTGTTGTTGTAGACCTGACGCCAGAGGAGAAGGCCAGGGGACTAGCCAGAGCCATCCGTAAACAGACGGGTGATGTGAGGGAGCGCTGGGAGAGGCTCAAAGGCCACGTGGGTGGATGGCACAGTCAGGTGGAGAGGGCCTTGGAGAGGCTACAGGAGCTCCAGAGCTCCATGGACCAGCTGGACCTGCGGCTCACCCAGGCAGAGGAGGCCAAGGCCGGGTGGCAGCCAGTGGGAGACCTGCTCATAGACTCCCTGCAGGACCACATCGAAAAGACCACGGTGAGATGGGATAAAGTATAGTGTCCCCTTAGAGCTATTGAGTTCTTTCTGATGTTTTCTTGAAATTGTGTTATTTTTCATAAATGGTAAATGGACACATTTTATATAGCTCTTTTCTACCTTCAAGGCACTCAAAGCACTTTACATCAAGTAACCACTCATCCATTCACACACGGTCATACACCAGTGTACGCAAACACTGAATACTGAATACATTATATATATTATATGTATACAGTATATATTTATTTCTGAACTACCCAGAACAGAGATAAAACATAAAAATTTCAAAAGGACAATTAGACTAATGACCAAAATGGCTGAATAAGATTAAAATCAGGCCTAAATCCTCAGTAGAGATGTTGCCCATTTACGTGGAGGTTGGTAATTCTATTTCCAAATAGAAGTGATTGATGCATTTGGAAAACTTTATAATATTGCAGCTGTTGTTTTAGATACTGCACATATTGAGTACATCATAAAGGCTGCAAAGAGAGCAGATTAAAAATAATGTGTAGTATAATCTTTCACATAAGGGTATAAGTGATATTTCTGTGCTTGTGTTGTTCATTTTCATTTTTGTGCAATTCCTGAACCTCAACCGTGACAGACATGTTTTGGCAAATTTTTGATGGATTGCCATAATATTCTTTTAATACTGTCATTAGTTTAGCAAAAAAAAAAAAGAGATCTTCTTTTTTGTCAGTATTACAGACAGTGCACATTGCTGTTACGTTGTTGTGCTTTTGCTAGACTACAAATGAGATAAGAAAACAGTTGAGACTTCTAATAATTTTTCCTCCCAGTTTAAATTTTACCAATTAAATCTGCATAAATTTATTACATTTGTTAATATTTCTAAGCTTCTTTGGTGCACTCTCTCAGATAATGATTCTGACATTTTCAAATTCTAATCAGTTGAGTTGATTATTTTTTCCGGAGGCAAAACCCATTTAATAAACAAGCAGACAAATTACTGTTTCTGAAATGAAGTCACGCTTGCTTTAAAAACACGTAATGTCAGAGTCCCACGTTACATCAGGAAAAACTCGGGTTCTTGCATTTGTTTAGCTTTCAATTACATCACCCGCGATACGGCTCTACCTCCACACGGCGTGACAGTGCTCAGATATACACCCAATTAAACCCATTCAAACAGGGCCATGTAGGAAGCACTTGAGTAGAGTCGCTATAAAGAGATTACGGTCTCAAATGCGCCCCCAGTGTTAAAGGTATTAAATTAAATTGTATATAGACGGCCTTGGAGAGTTTTAATTAAAATTCCACAGCAATACATCCTAATTTTGAAGCGTAATTTATTTCCAATTAGAGATGATGAGGTCACCGCCACAAACCAAAGATAAACAGAAGTGAAAACAAAATGCAAGGCTGCTAACACTTCTTGTAACAAGTGCTTATAGTCTATTGAGGCTTACATTTGTGTATAATGAAGTGCTAAGGTATTGAATGAAGGATTTGCACTTAAACTCTGCGCAGGCGTTCAATAAGGAGATTGCACCGCTGCGCCAGGATGTCAAAGTGGTGAATGAGCTGTCCTCAGAGTTGACCCCTCTGGACATCCAGCTGTCCTTCTACTGCCTCCAGACAACTGGACCAGCTCAACATGAGGTGGAAACTACTGCAGGTAAAAACAGCCCTCTGTGGTGCTACTTTTCTCCCAACAAGTATTCTCATCAGATAATTACATTGTTTAAAGATGCATTAGCCAATTTTCAAACTGAGAATGGAAGAAGTAGGTATTTAAAACTATATAACTAGTTCTTAGCTCTCACAAACCCTTTAGCATAATGTTAATATGCATGGATTTTCAGAGTGGTGCACAGGTTTTGAACAGATTTTTCAAACAAGGTGAATCAGGGGTACATTGTCAATGCTCAGTCAGTCTTAGCACTGCTTATGGTTTTCTTCTGAGGTTGCAATTGATAAAATTCGTCATTATTTGAAGCAGATGGTGCGCAGAGATATGATTTTGTAGCGTGAAACTTTTACAATACTGTGGGGGAAACTGAAAAGTACTTATTTACAGGTATAAAGTTGGATACCCCAGCTTTAACTGTTAGTTGAGCTGCTGAACCTGATTTGTAGATTGCCAATAGCCGGCTTCATCCCGCTTCAAACTAATGCGTTGAATTTATTGCGTTTTTCAAGACTCTTAAAGCGAGCATTGCATTATTCATCCTCTCCTCACTCAGTCATGGTAAAGTAATTCTGTGGCTGCCTATCTGCACCAACAATCTCTCCAAAAAACACCAACAAATCACTCAGGCGCCACATTCATACAGACAAGGTGAATGTAGGGTCTTGCCCAAGGACACAACAACTTATAATGACTAAGAAGAACTAAGCCCAGAGTTTCAAAACTGCTAAATTACATCTGAATTTTTGTACCACGTTTTCGTCATCCTGAACAAGATTTAGCTTTTTCTGATTTCTCTCATATTTCAGATTCCACTTTGAGTCAAACTCCTTTGGGACCTGAAAACATGTCCCCCTCACTGGAGCACACCTTAAGTTCTGAAATTACAAAACACATCAATGGGCACTTCTCTGAGCACCGCATTTGTCTGTAACTCCTGATGCTCCATGTCTCAGTCTGATCCTCTGAGTTACTGTCTCATAGTGTAGCATTCATATGAGTCCCAGAAGGAAAGTCGTGGAATAGTGATGCAACTTTGTCTTTTAAAAGAAACATGAAACTGTCAGTCTCAGTTATACTACGACTTAAATTCATGCCGGTAGAGTTGTAAGCTTACAATGGTATTCCCGCTGTGAAAATACTATTATAGGGCATGGTACATTTATTTCACTTGACTTACTTGGTACAGTGATTTATAGTGCAACTACTGTGAATCTAGATTAAATAAGATACAACTGATAAACTGCACTTGCTGGGCCCTTAATTTTGTTCTAGACTTCTACAGTAAGTGTGAGCCTGTAGGAATTGTTAAAAAATGCATGTTAAAATTACAGCCATAATACTTACAATGATTTCCTGAAGTCTGATTCATTCTAACCTTGATCAGTCACTACTTCCTTAACTTAAATTCTAATATTAACCTATTTTACTCAGATATTATTAATCGTAACTCATAACTTTTCTGGTTCATCACCTGTTTGTCTCTATAAGATGTCATTTCTTTGCCCAGAACGTTCCAGTTTATGGCATTAAAGTCATCTACCTTGCATTGATTTAAATATCAGTGTTTTTTATTGCTCAGAAATACCTTGAAACGCAAGCATTTGAACTTTGAGTGGGCTTGCCTTTCCACGGATCTGACCTGTAACTTGGCCCATTGTTGAAGCAGAGAAGCAATGCAAATAGTGGACCCTCAACCAGAAAAGTTACCCAGTGCACCTTTAAACCATATTTCTCTTTTATCTAATAATAAAGGATATAATTCATGGGGACCTAATTTTTGTCCCCATAAGACAGACATGTCAAACTCAGGCCCGAGGACCAAATTTGGCCTGCGATATAATTTTATTTGGCCCACGAGATCATATCAAATATGTATTGAAGCTGGCCCACCGGCTACAGATAGACTATAGAGACATTATTTATTTTACATTTTGTTATTATTTTATATTATGCTTGTTCTGGATTCAGTGTTTAAGCAAAACTATTATTAAACATGTATTTTAATAAGAAAAGGTTTAACATTACATATGTCAAAAGAAGAGAAAACATGCAGATGTTGTTGAAATTTTTCAATAAATATTTTATTTGGCCCACGACTTAGTCCCAGTTTTTAATTTTGGCCCTCTGTGAATTTGAGTTTGACACCTCTGCCATAAGAGATGCAGGTTCCCATGATGTGAGTGTAAAGATTGTTGTCCCTTCAATGTGATAAATACCCGTCCACCATATTGAAACTGGGATTAAACCCTAAACAAAACCTGAACTAGACCAGGATTTAACCAGGGCCAGATGTGCTTAAACTTCAAACATTATCCATAAGTTAGTCAGAGAAGTTTCACTGCACTGCACGGCCAGTTTTATTTCTCTCAACAGCACCATTTCCGCTGATGAGCCTTCTCACTGTGGAGTTTGATGATTTGATTTTCATATGCAGACCACTCTCATTGTCAGCACCGCGGGTTCAGGACAGTAATAGCCATTAGCAGAGTGATAGTAACAGTGCTATTGACCTTTTAGCTCACAGCTCCTTATAGACAGCTGTGATCAGGCCCTTACACCTTGCCTTGTGCCAGCAGACTGTGGACCAGATGTGGGATTCATGTATCTTTCTCAAGTTCTTTCTTAACTTCCACTCAAGTGTATTACAGAATGAGTGCCAGCAATAACTCCATCCAATTAAAAGTTTTCACATAATTCTGCTGACGAACCTGTCTATGATTTTACAGCTCCTCATAACTGCAATAAATTATAAATAACTTGTAGAACTTTCATGGGTTATCTAGCAAAATTTAAAGATGAATATGAGCTGAAAGAATATTTGGCATATTTAAATCAGTTTTGTAAAATGATTACGGCTATTCCCACTGCTAATATCCCTGGTCCACAGTGTGATTTTTAAGATACAGAGTCTGCTGCCTACTTATTTCCACATAGATATGTACCATTTTGAGCATACTGTAGATTATGGTTGCCTGGCCAGCCATATTATTTACTTGTATGTATTAAATATAAGAAAATCTTCCTCCATATGGAATACATTGAGGAAATCAGATGGTGTACCAGGCAAAGATGATGGACCCTTCCACCAGAAAGTTACACAGTGTCCCTATGTATATATTTTTAATTTGGCAGATAAAATTATACAGCATCATTCATCTTTTTTATTTAATTAAGTCTCAACTATGTTTTATTTTGCGTTGTGCTGTTTGACTCAAGTTCCAGATAATCCACATTCATACTGTGCAGTAATAGGCTATAAATTACCTTAACTGCCTCCTATTGGTGTAACTGATGTGCTTTTTTGTGCAGGTTGCGGTGGAGGACAGATTAAAACTACTTCAAGAAGCCCACCGAGACTTTGGACCCTCATCTCAACATTTCCTCTCCAGTGAGCACCAGACACTCTACAAAACCAGACATTTCAAGGGCTTTCACAGACTAACTGCTTTCCTTTTCAATAACATAATTCCTAATTACAGTCCTCATTAGGCATGATAGATGAACTGAAGAAGAGAGGGAGTCTTAAACAAAAGACGTGGTCATTTTCGATAACAATACGCTATTAACTCTCTGCCAGTTTCACCTGATTGGCTTTCACTTCTGTCAGACACAGACCCAAAATGGCAGCTGAATGAATCAAGTCTGACCACAGAGTGATTCACCAATATATGTGGATTTATGTGGGAGCTTAGCTAACACAGTGCACCTAGTGTGGGTTTCCTTTTAGTCTTACCATCCCATTGTCATGATGATAAGATTAGTAGGACCAGATCAGCAGAATTAGAGTTAATATGTTGAGATGTATCTACTGAGAATATATTGTTGATTTGTTCAGCTCGGTGGAACTACAAAGCAATTTTAAGATGTGGAGTGGGGAGGGGGATGCAACAATCATACCTGTTGTACTAATGTATTTAATGAAGTATCAAGTTGTCAAGTTGCTAGTATGTGTGGTAAATATAGGCATGAATATAGTCATGAAATCATAATACATAAAGTTGTTACAGATTCATTTCTTCTGCTATATAATTTTCTCTCTACTACAGAAAGTATTTATTTTTCTCATTTCACGCACACTTAAAATATCTTAAACCCATATCTACTATATTTTAATGGAAGTGTTTTGATGTTGCAATTATTTCAAGTCAAGCTCCATGGGTTAAAAGGATTATTGCGTTGTGTTTATTAAAATGCTTTTTCGATTTTCACCATGACTTCTCTGTATGTATCTGTCTCTGCAGCGTCTGTGCAGCTCCCGTGGCAACGTGCTGTTTCTCAGAATAAGGTTCCATATTACATCAAGTAAGTACCAAGAAATGATGACTATCTTTGTGCTTTTGCATAGATTACACCCATTTGTGTCTTTGAAGTTCGTGGAGCTATTTGCATAATTCAGACATGCGTTGCACATGAGTCAGTGTTATTTTGGTTGAAAAATATAAACATGCTATAGCTTTTGTTAGTATTTTTGTGGGTTCAAACTAAAATAAAATATATTTAATGAAGACTAAAACTATGAATAAATGAACAAATATTTTCTCATAAACAAAATTATGTAATGTAAGTTGGCATTTTCACAAATTCAAAAAGCTAGTAATACTGATTTGACATGGAATTTAGTTGGCTCAAACTAAACAAAATCTTACTTAAAAAAAATTACATTTGAAGTAAAATTAGCACTGCTCTTCCAGGGTGCTGTTCCTATCTCACAATAGTGAAGAAGTAGCACACTCAATACGCTCAAGATCAGAATACCTAAACAAAAATCCACCCAGTGTCTTGAATAAGCTCTCAGCAAGTTCATGCAACTTTTACGTTTTTGGCAACAGCAGCCCGGCACTGCATTCATTTTGCATCTATGACAATTGATAAGTGGCTGACATCTTGTGTCTCTCTGGCTGTGCCCTCACTGTCTCCTTTTGACACTTCGGAAACAATCTCTCTTGCCAAGTTTCAGACTAGCTGCTTGAATACTGTTTTAAACTCAACATAATAATCATAAGATAGTATACTGTCCGCAAACTTGAAGACCTAGTGCCACAAATACTTCCTGATATGAACTCCAAGCCCAATCAGAAAAGCATTTGGTGGAAAGCGCTTTATTCCATGTAAGGAAGGCAATCTTCTTTCAATTTTCTCCCTGCTGCAAACAGTGGAATAGGAGGCGAGTGGGAGATAGTAGGTGCGATTCGTGAGCACTGAACTTGTGTGGAGCTATTTGATGATTCCCAATATGTGGGCCAGTCCCCTCTCTATGGGTGGTAGCAGTTTAATCAGAGGCCTTTTGTCAGTGTGAATGAGAACGAGCGAGGATGAGAGGACGATGGTTTTTGGGAGAGAATTAATGCGTTACAAAAGGAACGCGGATGTCCATGTAATGACGGTGTATTCAGAAGGACGTGTGATTAGCACAGCAGATGGGTTTGGAGTGCAGGGAAATGTGGAGGAGCGGACAAGCACGCAACTTCATTTAGTCATGTAATGCAGTGGGTTTCAAACTTTTCACACCATGTTGGACTATTTAGTCCTCAAAATACAGAAGCAGAGGCCAAATCCAAACTTAAGACAGAACATAACCAGGATTATATCAGAACTAAACCAGGGATGATGAAATTTTAGAGTTAGGGTTATTTTAACAAGTAGCTTCATGATTTTACAGTTATTCAGAATTATTGACTCTATAACCAAACTGTGAAAATGTCTAATTGATGCTCTGTCCTCTAGTATGTGACCAGTCTTAAGAAATCAAATTTTCTGAATGAAAAGGCAACATTAGCTTAGTATTAGTAAGAGTGTTTGTCCACTGATCTTCTTGAGTGGTCAGATCCACTGACCCACAGGTTGGCGATGCAATTCCAGTTTCCATGGATGAATGTTGTCGTTGTGTCTTTGGGCAACCCTCCACTCCCCATGTGTGTGAGTGGTCCCTTGATGTAAAGGACTTTGAGTGCCTTAAAATATAAATATAAAAAAAGTGAATACAAAAACATGACCATTTAACAAGACTTTTTTTAAACAGACAGATAAAAAAGCACTTAAAATAGTATATAACATGTACCATTCTAAAACGGCCACATTTATTATATTGTAGTTCTTATAATTATCACGATTGTTAGTTAACCATATAATTTTGACATCCCTACTACTAAACATTGATCTGCTTTTGTGTCCCATAAGTTTTGTTGGTGCTCTCTGTTCTTCCCTTGTGGGCTCCTGTGTAAAAGAAAAGGAAATGTCATCCAACCAACCTTGAGGCACTAAACATGTGGCTAGTGTTCACACAATGAGTTTTTTTATGAGAGAGGTTCCAGTTGGCTTGTATTGTCGGCACCCTATGTACGTATTCCAAGCAGGAGCAGGCTGTCTGTGTCCCCATTCCTGTGTGAAACATTGTCCATTATTTGATATGAATGCTTGTGTGGGTTCATGATTCAAAAGTGATTCTGACTTCTATATTTTTGTATGTCCAATATGGAGTTGCTGTAAAAGATGTGAGAGTGAATATAATTATGAGCTGTGCCAGTCACTGTCCGGTTTGCAGTTTGCAAGTTTTATAGTTGTCTAAATTAACATATATATATATATACGAGCTGAATGTAGTAATTGGAGTAGAGTATAGTGGACTTTAATCTCTATTAAAGGTTCTATATTATGGAAAATGTACTCATGGGAGCTTTAAGCCTCGTCATAATGTTGTTACCTCCTCAAAATATATCTGGAGTTATGTCTTATTTCATTCACACGTTTGAGTAATCCTAGACTGTCTACATCTCCAGAACTCAAAATGCTCTGTCTCACCTTGTGATGTCATGAAGCTGTAGTTTTCAAGTTCACAGCTACATTTTGCCTTTAGGTCAGTAGAGATGACAAGGGCTGAAATTATCCAGATGATTCTAGTGAAGAAAATACAATGGAGTATTTTCTGTTTGTGAGAGGAATCAACCTAAATATGTAGGTTTGTGTGTTAAACATGTGTGAATGAAAGAAAACACAACTCCAGTTATGTTTGTGATGAGGAAACGACATTATAGCATAAAAAATGTGTAATATGGGCACTTTAATCACAGTGTCATACATAATTACTGTTAAATATGACTTTTAAGCACATCGATAGAACATACCTATTTTGCTCTTCTGTATAATTGTGTTTCTAATTTTCTTTTGAAAAGAAACGTAAAACTTCTATCCAAAGATTTTGCTAACAATTTGTCCATAGTGAGAATACATTCAGCAGTTTTTGACACAGAGTTGCATGATTTCTGGATAATGAGGCCCATTCTAACTTTGAGCCGTGACACTTCCTGAACTATAGAAAACTCTGCTTACCACCACACATCTTTCCTTTTCTCCGGTTTTTCCTTGTTTTGGCTAAATTTAGCCCAGGAACCAAGATGTCAAACTTAGTCACCATTAGAACAGCGAAAAAGGCTGCCATGGGACTCAGTGAGGTATTATCTATTCAAAAGGGGGTATGCTGCAGGTCTGAATGACAATGAGCCCTAAAATGGATTGCATTTTAATAGAAAGAGCCATTTATCTGTGAAATAAACGACACCAAAGTGCAAACACTCAAGTGGTCTGACTACTTGCTTGCTCGGTGCATACAAAATCTCACAGTATTGTTGTACCACATTTACTAGAAAAACAATGATCCTCCATGCTACTTATCTTGGCCGTGCATAGCAATTTAGTAGTTTTTGTCTGGCGTGACTTATACATAAAAAGTTTTTGTCTTTGAAATTGCACCAGAAAAAAACTCAAAAATTGCAAATTGCTGTTAAAATTGCTATCCTCGATTCTGTGTTTTTGAGATTTGTCCTGGACTAAACTAAAATATATATAGATAGAGTAGATTGTTTGGTTTTAAAGGTGCATTATGTAACTTTGTTTTTTGTTCTTCATGACCTTTTATAGCTCAAAAATACCTAGATAAACAGACATTCTGACTGTAAGCGGGGTCACCTCTCACTGTGACTGAATTTTTGCTGTAGTCCTTGTTTTTTACTGCTCAACCTTTGTGAATTTACCTTTCACACATTTCTTACACAACATAACCAACAGAGAAAACTGTCTCTTGCCTATCATCTGAGAGAATGGCATTAACACACTCAAATCTAAAAACCATCAGTATAAAATAAGCTGCTTCTCAGACCCCACTAAAAACCTCTTCTCTGCTCTCAGTACCAGACAGTAGTTATTTGTCCTCAGACTCATGCCTATTCATGACTGTCCAGCGTGGCAGAGACAAAACTCCAGCCACAGAGAGATCTCCTGTCTGGTCTGGAGCCAGAGAGGACGCAGTACCTCTGGCCTTCGTGTTGAACTACCACCACCAACTTTTCCCCATTAGCATTTTATAAAGTTTTTGAACTCTGGGCTTTTGATGGCAGAGAGCAATGTGCCTTATTATGTGCAGGCGAAATCAAAGTTCTATTCTAGGTAATAATGGAGCAGAGGGAGAAGGAAGAAGAAGAAAATTAGCAAATCATGTTAACCTTTGCGCGCCTCTGCTGCTCTCAGACTCCAAAGAATAGCAACTATTAAATGATAAGCTAATTGTGACTGTGTTGTTTGTCTCTGAGGCCCATTCACTGTGCACTTTTGCTCGCTCAGACAGAAAACAGCTTGTAGGGGCCAGTGAATTGTGTTGTGTATAGAAATCTTTTGCTTGATCCTTATCCATAGAATCCCATTTTGTACCACTGATATCCATTTCATACTATTTATTTAGCAAAAACAAAGTTGTGTTTGTCGTGTGTTGTTTCTGTTGGAGTTGTGTTTTTGTGTAATCCTGTATTATTAGTCCGTCTACATTTCAATCAACTCAAAATGCTCCACCTTGTGATGTCATGAAGGGGTTGTTTTAACTTAACAGCTACGTTTTACCTTTTGTTCAGTAGAGCGGGGCTGAAATGATCCTAACACTTCTAGTGGATGTTGTATGGAGTTTAAAAACACAGTTCCTGTATAGACTATAACAAGGTGTAATAGAGTGTTTTCCATTTGAGAAAACTCATCCTAAATATGCAGGGTTTGTGTGTTAAACATATGTGAATGAAACATAATACAACTCTGGGCTGATTTGTAATGAGAAAACAACATTATAAATAAAATAGATCAGAAAATAGCATAATATGGGCCCTTTAAAGGACAGTACCTTTAAAAAAATCAAAGTACAGTAACTTGATTTTTCTTCTTCTTAATTACTTGTTTGCAATTGTCCAAAGTTATTCCTCATTTACCTTATGCATTTCTGGCAGAATTATTCAATGAGTTTAAACAAATTAGAATTTATTTGTTTGGAGGACAAGCTCCTTGAGATGTCTCGCCATCTCGTTTTCGAGAGGGTGCTCATAGTTACAACAACAAAAGACAGATACAGTAAGCAGACAGTAGACTACATAAATTCAAATCAACATCAAAACAACAAAATCAACACAACCACCATTTTTAAGTGCTTTTCACAGCTTTCAGAGGCCAGAGCTGAAGTTGCCGTCACAATAGTGCTCATAACAACTAACATGCTAAGCACACAGTTCCTGATTCTTTGAATTCAATAAATTTCTATAGGGAGAGGACATTTTGCTTCTTGGGAAACAATTGAGCACAGGCCCTTTAAGGACAATTACTAATTTCAGTCATTAATAACCTGAAGTGGCTACACAAGTACTAGTATATGGGGGTCATTTCTCTAAATATTTTAACTAATCATAAATATTTATCAGACGAGACGCGCCAACTTACGAGCCATTGTAGGCCATGTAGCTTTATCTATCATGCATACTTACCGGTGTAGACTAAACTAGCAATTCCAAGTTACTATAAGCAAAAAGTAATGAATCAAACTCTTGTTATATAAATTACACTTTCTTTTCTCCAAAGTTTGATTTAAAGGTCCCTTTTTAATTACAGTGTTCAGGTGTAACAGTGTCATCGCTTCGCTGGTTCCGCCTTTGGAAAACCCAAAGATTGCTGTGGCATAACAAAACAAACGTACTGAGAACAGCTGAATCTGACAACTTAGTCATCATCATTATGGATTTTATATGCTGAGGAGAAATACACACAGACTGTCTAATCCCATTCTAAATGCAACCTCCTTTTCCACAGGCACAAAAATCTGTTATGCATTGTTATTGACAGAGCAGCTGCCGACATATAGCCTAAGCTTTAAACAGTTGAACACTTTTGTGGTTAGGGCTGCAGGCCAGTTGGATAGTCTGTACTCCTCTGCTTAGCTGTGTATTTGAATGCAGCAAATATCAGCAAATCCCTGGACTAGGTCTTTTGGAAATCCTTAGTTGATTTAGACAACATATTTGCTCACTATCTACACAAGCTGCTGTTTACCGCAAGGAATGTGAAAGCAGTGACCATTTGGGACACATACTGTTTCACAGTATGGCAAGACAGATTAGACTAATGCCATACTGTGGACAATTTAAACTACCTTTAATATATGAAATTGACCTGATGTGGTCCTACAATGATAATGATAATATAATAAATGTATATAATCTAATTTATTTACAGCTAAATCCTTATTTCTTATTATTAGAGTTGTATTTTACAGACAGAAAGGCAGAGAGATTACATCGTGTGGCTTTCAAATCTTACACAAACTTGGGCATTGCAAAAAATCACTTCAAAAACTTTTTAAAACTTTTGAAAGCCATCAGATATGACAGCGAGTTTAGAAATAAACCCACATTTTGGACAGCATGAGTTGTTCAGGTGCACTGAGGGACATTTATCTGACTCACCGTGTTTATTTTATTTATTCTTTTCACATAATTTATTTATTTATTTTTGCTTTGTGTATGGGCAAAAATCCTCTGTTGGATATGTAAACATAGAGCCAAGACTATGCCCTGCTGCATGTGTCTCAGCCTGTTTGAAGATGGGATTCCTGCTGTGATGAGAAGGGACTCACAAAATGTTTATTTGAGTATATATTGTTCCTATCTGGGCTTCTGCTTGCGGTTTTAGTATTTGGGTCGGAAACTGGTCGCTCTTGACAATTCCGAATGTCATTGTCAACACTGCGGATATCACAATTTTGTCTTCAGTGCCGGTGTAATGACCACTGTCTTTATATGTACCATGTTTTTCAAGTGTTTTGATACTAGGAGACATCTTTTCTCAATAGTTCTTGTGTTATTGTGCTTTCCAGCCACCAGGCGCAGACCACATGCTGGGACCATCCAAAGATGACAGAGCTGTACCAGTCTCTAGGTAAGAGAGACACGCTTATACCCACAGATATGTAATTCATAATGCTTTTTAAAATCACAGAGCTGGAGGCTATTGTCAGAATATTTTTGGAGTTTTACACCCACACAGCCCACCTACAATAACTTATTTTGCAGTCTATCAACAACATTAAACTCTTGTTCAGCTATTCCTACTGCCTCCAGTGTTCAAATATGCAACGATTAACCTCGGGAAATCATGTGAAATGAGATTTACAATATTGTCACAACATAAAATGTTAATTATTGTGAAAACAAACATCATAATTTTCCTTGGTGGTGCCCAGATGAAGCTCTTACAGTGAAATGGTATCAATTTATCCAAATGCACATGTCAACATTTGCATGTAGTGGGTTGTAATCCTTCCTCGAGAACCATTTTCCATTTCATATTTTGAAGCTAGATTTTATGTGACAACACAATTGCACTCTCCAATTTTGTTTAAACGTTTGCTTGCTCGAGTCCAAATTCAACTTTAAAATCTTTTAGGAGTGACCATTGATGTGTTTTCATACAAAGAGAATTAAAGTGCAATACCTGTACCGGTACTTGGTAAATATAATAATATAATAATAATAATATGAATTCACATAGTTTTCATGATATGGTTATATATGTATTTACCCTCTTCTTAAATGCCAAATGCTGTAACTGATTTTGTTTTCTGACTCTTTCCCTTCTTTTCTGTTGTCATTGCACAGCTGATCTGAACAACGTGAGATTCTCGGCATACCGCACAGCCATGAAGATCCGCCGCCTCCAGAAGGCCCTGTGCTGTAAGTCACCTTCACACGGCCTTCACACCAACACCACTGGTCACTTCACTTCAAATGTAGCTGCAGCAGAGGGAGGCCAGGACAGATTTGAAGTGTTGCCAGATTCCACGCCAGAGCAGCTCATGCGGAAGGGAGAATTTTTAGCTTGAAAAATAAACAAAAAAAGTGGCGTGTTTTTTGCGCACAGCTGTGGTTTAGCCTGTTGAGGGTAGCATCCTTCAGGTGGGATTATGATAGGATTTTTCCCCAGCTCCACCACACGTGTTTTTGATACATAATGGACACCTTGATAATGGCTGCTATTACCTGCTGTTTCAGGTGTCCCTCACATATTCACTCTCTCCAGGTGGACTCAGGGCTGAGCCAGTGGAGCAGAGTACAGCGTAATAATAGTGACAGATGTGCCAGTTACACAGGTGTTGACTTTATCATTGGCCAGCACACCCTCCTTACACTTAGAGGGAAAAAATATTGTGTTTATGTATAATCCCAAGACAGTAGTAAATAGTAACTTAATTACATTTTGTGGTTTATTGTACAGAGATTTGTTAAATTGTAATTTAAAAGAAGACTATTATGTTTGATGCATCCCCACATAGTCATTTTTATCAACAACATTGTTTTCTGCAGTCTGCTACAGCAATAAAAATCACTTTAATTTGGGATTATTACTTTTATAGATTTATTAAAAGTGTATTGTTTTTTTGTATGTTTTGACCAATTAAGCATGTAAGCAACGACACGTGCATGTTAGATTTGCGGCAGAATATTTATGTTAGATGATTGAATTGAAAATTTCATTTGATGTATAGATTTAATATTTGATTTTATTGTTATAATTTTCATTACATTGTATTTTTATTTGTTTCTATGTTTAGAAAATGTTCTAAATTTGTTGAGAAAGACGCTGTATCATATTATAATAGGAAATTCACACTGTAGCCTAATATATTAGCTTTTAATACCTAGGTCAGAGGTTTATGGTGTTGATTATTGTTCATATTGGTTCAATGGACACTATAATTAGCCTATGATCAGAGTGACTAGATAACAATTCCTCTAACTACTAGGCCTACACTTGTATGAATGCCTGTCGAAATGAGCTACCTTTACCTGTAATCATATAAATGAGTGAATAATATACATTATTCATATATTATTCAATATACAGTGGGAGCATTATTCGAAAGTTAAATGAAAAAATGAAAGTGAAACAAATATGAAGGTGTTTTTAATCCTATGTTGCGTCATCTACTCTATAATTTAAACAATACCTCCTTTTTCAAACCCTTGAAGAAAGCGTAATTTTCATTTTAATGCATTCAACCACTTCTACTTTATTCAATTAGAATAACAGATCAAACAAAGGAAAGTCCTACGCAGCAGTATCAGGTCATCTCATTTCGCTGACCCCTCTCTGGATCAAAGTATGTTTTTGTTTTCGTGGGTTGTTAATTACTTTGAATGATTCAGGAGGCTTTGTATTGGCGGTTATGCTGATTGTTTGTTTGTGACAGAAATGCATTAAGCCTGAATGATTACCTATTTCATTCACTGCAAGGAACTTGAAATACATAGTTTAAGTAATGATGGAAGGGCTCAAAATTTCTAAGCATAAGTGCACGGTTTACTTCTACTGCTGCTACTGTTACTACAACTATCTCACTGACTGCTATACTTCCACTCTCAATATTTCTACTATTATAACCACCACTGCTATGACTCCTACTATGTCCCCCCATCTATATGTTTTCAGAATTACTTCATAATAAATTACTTCTCATCTTTGAACAATAGTTATTTCTGCCTAGCGTTATTGGCCTAAAATGACCACAATATTAAAGGGCCAGTATTACAGTATTTAATGATCTGTGTTATAATTTTGTTTCCTATCACAAATATATCTGGAGTTGTGTTTTGTTTCATTTACATGCTTAAAACAAAAAACCGTGGATATTTAGGCTGATCTCGAACAGAAAACCCTTTGTTCTGTTCCACCTTGTGATGTCATGTGGTAATACTCCACTGTGCTTTTAAACTCCATACACCTTCTCTAGACTCATTTGGATCATTTTAGCCCTGGAATTTCCAATCTCTACTGAACTAAAGGTAAAAGGTATCTGATGTTCAGTTGAAAACTACTGCTTCGTAACATCATAAGGTGGAACAGAGCAGTTTGAGCTTTGGAGATGTAGACAGACTAATAATAAATGGTTACTCAGACAAATGTGAATGAAACAAAACACAACTCCAGGAATGTTTTTGATGAGGTAACAACACTATAACATGGCATAAAGCTCACAAGAGCCAATTTTGCATGATATAGGCCCTTTAAAAAGAAATTAAGAAATAACTAATAATTGACAATATAACCTACACCAGACAAAGTGCCACTCCACAAATTTTTGTCATCAGAAGAGCAAATTTTACATGACCTATTATAAGCGATATGAATCTACTAGGGTAAAGTCTTCACTAAGAGGCTGGAGCTCGTACAGCGTCCCACTAATAGCCTGTTTAACATCTATAGTAAAAAAAGACAGAGTTTTCAGACTGTGCTGCCTCCCCACTGAGCTCACTCCATGTATCTACACCATGGTAATTAGTGTAGTCTGGAGAAACAAGCCAGTAACAAGACATGCTGGCATATGGGTTGGGGCAACAGAGGATAAGGAGGACAGGTAAGTGTAATGCAATACAGAAACTGCCTGGGTGGCTGTTACCGGACCTAAAGTAAAAGTTTTCTGCATAATGGCAAAATCGACTTGATCTTAATGTAATAAAGTCATAATTGATTGTGCTGTAGGTTCCTAGAAAAATGCGCTGAAGTAATGAAATGGAAAACTGAATTAGAAATAACATTTCCAGTGGACCTTGACACGACATAATTAAAAGTTCGTTCCTACCTTGGTTTCTAATGAGTGTAATGTGCAAAGTCTGTAATTACATCTCATCTGTACAGCTTGATCTGAATTTGATTAAATTTAGGAAGTTTAAAGTCTTGCCCTGTAACTTTGTCCTACTATAGGCTAGTAGCTAATAAAAAACAGAATAAACATTTAAGGTTGGTTTTCTGAGTTGCACGTTTATAGTCTGAAATAATATTGAGAGAAATGTTAATGTTTGTTTAACCCCGGTCCGGCTTAGTTATTTCTGTGCGGCTATTCATACTATTTCTGATTTGTTGCTTTCTATGTTTTCCCTTGCTATCCTCAAGTCCTGGATTGACTTGAAATCATTGATGTTGGCTTTTTATTTCTCAACTCACATCTTTCTGGACTCAAACCTTACAACAGTAAATGGCTTATACAACTATAAAGATATGTATAATGTTATAAAAACATACTAGTAAAGACACGGAAAGTTGTCGTCAGAGTGACTAGGCCTATTTAAATAGACAAGTTTTGAGTTTGTTGATTTTGAAATGCGGGAGCGTGCCAGTATAGCGCAGGTCAGGAGAGAGGGTGGTCCAGATTTTGGGAGCAGAGCCACTGAAAGCACAACATGGTGACAAGGCAGCCGGGGGGGACAGAAAGGGCAGGAGGGGGGAGAGGTGCAGAACTGAGGAGGCCCAGAGGGGGTGGCAGTTGAAAGAATTTGAGAAATATGGAGGGGCAAGGTGAATGAGGTCTTTGATGGGAAGCCAGAGGAGCTGTCATGAGATTGGTAGAGCCAATTTAGCTGCCCCCTATAGGTTAATGCTAATTCATAGGGCTGCAAGGTTATTCACAATTTAAACATAATTAGCACCATACCATAATTTTCTCCACAAACATGAAAATATTCAGTCCTATTCTGAATAAAATCTAAAAACTCTGTGCAGATCTGGTTTAAAATGTGTTTTTTGTCAGCTTTGGGTTTTGTCAATTCTTCTGGACACAATAAAAATGTGAAAATCTGACTGTAATTGCAATGATTCTCAGAAAATTCACAGTTTTTCCCAAATTGTTCTGCCCCTATCACTTCTCCTGATCACCCCCTCTGTCTCTCTCTCTCTCCCTCCAGTGGACCTGTTGGACCTGCACGTAGCTCAGAACACCTTTGCGCAGCACAAACTGTTGAACAACAACCAGCTGATGACCGTGCCAGATGTGATCAACTGTCTGACGTCCATCTACGATGGGCTGGAGCAAGAGCACAAGGACCTGGTCAATGTGCCTCTGTGTGTGGACATGTGCCTCAACTGGCTTCTCAATGTTTATGACACGTATGTACACAACTGTTTGCTGCTTTGGAGTATGGAATTTAAAACCAAAATAGATATTAGATGTATCTTTGAACAATGCATCCTGTTTTTACCATTTGCACTAGAGCAATTAACAGTCTATAATATTTTCAAATACTCAAAATGAGAGACTTTTGACATACAGTATATACAGAAACACTGGATTTTGCTGTTTTGAAATAACTTTAATGTACACTTCATCAGCCATTTGCTTGTCTCCATGCAGATGTTATTGGTTTGCTTGGAATGTTCCACAGTACTGCATTAAACTTGTGTATCTAATTGTACACAAGCTACCAGGCCAAGTTACAACCCTATTCACTATAAGAATTATTTTTTGAGCAATAAAACGAGAACTCAAGATAGACATATATACATATACATATACATAACATATATACATATGTTTAATGCCTTACAGTAGAGCAGGGGTGGCAAACTCAAATTCAGAGAGCCAAAATTAAAAACTGGGAGTAAGTCGTGGGCCAAACTAAGTATTTATTGAAAATTTTCAACAACATCTGCATGTTTTCTCTTCTTTTGAGATGTGTAAACCTTTTCATATTAAAATAAATGTTTAATAATAGTTTTGCTTAAACATTGAATCCAGAACAAGCATAATATAAAATAATAACACAATTTTAAATAAATAATGTCTCTATAGCCTAGTAGCTATAATACATGTTTGATATGATCTCACGGGCCAAATATAATTATATTGCAAGCCAAATTTAGCCCCCGGGCCTGAGTTTGCCATGTCTGCGGTAGAGCATTCCAGGGAACGCAATAACATCCCCATGGAGACAAGCAAAAAAAAAAAACTACATAATTCCCTTTAAATTATGTGAATCCATCTCTCCTGTTACTCAATGATTTTCTGTCACTCTTGCTACTTCAGAACCTATTATCCGCCCCATCTCTCCCATTCTGTGTCCACAAACATACCTGTACACTTAAGTGACCTGATTTATTGCTCCTGTCTTTGTAGCGGACGCAGTGGGAAGATCCGGGTCCTGTCTATGAAGATTGGCCTGCTGTCTCTCTCTAAAGGACACCTGGAAGAGAAATACAAATGTAAGTGTCCTTGTCGTACTCCGAGTAACATCTTTAGCATATAGCCAGACTGAAAAACCAACACTACAACTACTTCCTTCACCACTGTACTCCCAGTTGTATTAATCAAACTTACAGAGACCGAGAAAGCTGGTGATGCGCTTGGGAAATGCCGTCTAATTGGATGAGAGACCTCCTCCGCATCCCCCTGCTCTTTATTCAATTTTCTATTCTGATTTATTTTGGAGGATTAGACAGTGTGAATGTAGGGCTGCTGTACAGGGACGACGAAGCTATCATTTTGCACTGGCTGCCTTTGTTTGGGCTCGCCTGTCTGTCTTCCTCCACTGTCACCGCTCCAAGCACTCTTCATCCATCTAACATTGCCACTTTGTCTTTTTGCTTTCTGCTAACTCCTACACGTCTCTCCTCTCCCCTTTCTTCTTCTTGGTCTTTCCGTTCTTCTCGTTTTCCTCCGATTCCCCTGCCCTGGCACAAGCGGTGTCTGTGAGCCTATTCGTTCCACTGGCAGTTTCTATTAGGCTGAGAAGGCTATCACGCACGCCTGATTGCGCGCCCTCCCTCCGCTCGGAGACTCTCATTGGCTGGTAGTTCTTTGCCAGTAGCCTCAAAGTAACACGTTCACTGACACATGTGCACAGTGCCATGTAAAAGCTATACAGTTTTGTAGAAAACTTTCGGCTAGGCGTGGAAATTGTGTTAATTGAAAGAGGGCTGCAACACGGTGACGAATCGGGTATAGAAACCGTGTTGCTGTTAAATAAAATGGGCACAAGAAGCATATGCATTTTGATTTTAATATTTTTTATTTGTAAATATTTTCAATAAATATTGTCTGCTAAATAAACTTCAGAACAATCAGAAGTTTTTGTAAGTGTGAGTCAGTTCAGATTTGTGAAAATATAGATTGTGGAATAGTGTCAAAACTTTCAGGTTAGACCAGTGTTTCCCCAAACTTTTTTTGGGGGGATCCATATTTTAAAAGTCACAAACCTTCGCCACCCAAGTCAATAGACATTATTTGTAAATCAGAAAATAAAGGTAGATTTGACCATTATTGAGCATTAAAGAGGCTATTTTATTGTTGACTGAGTGATCATGTCTCTGTGAACAATTAGTATTACTCAAGTTTTAAACAATGAAAAACAGTAATTGTACCAGCAATAAAAGGATCCATAAGTCACGTATTTGGACATTAAATGTAGCCTAATTCTTTTTCTTTTCAACATTCAATTGATCCACCAATACTGGAATAAAATAATCTGTAGAACTGTACATTGCAGACCTACCTACAGATCGTGACAAGACAAAAATCTCTTGCGACCCACCTGACGCATATGCAAAGTTTATGCATATTTTCTCATTGATACTTCAGTTTGTCGGTATTTATTGCAAGTCAAAGTAGTTCAGCTTTGTCAGTATAGAGGTTCAGATATTATTGCATGTGTTTATAACAGGCAGTGCCCAGTTCATACACCCCCTGTCTGTTGGTTTGTGGGGGGCTGGCCTCACACAGAGATCAAAGTCAGCTGCAGATACCCACAGACCTGTCAGCGTCCTCTCTCTCATCTCTCTGCTCTCTCTCATCTCTACACTCTCCCCTCTCTCTCTCCTCTTTCTTATTTTCTACCTCTCTATTCCCACTCTTTCCCCGATCTCTCATCTCTCTCCCCTTTTCTCCCTTCCTCTTCTTTCTCTCTCTTCTCTGCCCCTCTCCCTCTCCTCTCTCTCCACTCTTCCTCTCTATTCTCTTTCCTACCTCTCTCTACCCTACCTTCTCCTTCTTTTCCCTCTCCTCTCTCTCCCTCGCCCTCTCCTCTTTTTTCCTGCTCTCTCCTCTCGTCCTCTCTCCTCTCTCTCTGCCCTCAGCTTAGCCTCACCGCTCTTTGTCACATGTTTCATAACTTCATTGAAAATACATCACCTTCGCTTGTCACCCGGCCTGGTCCATTCCCAATCTCTCTGTCCCTGCCAGTCTTTGAGCGACCAGAGAAGGAAGAGGGATTAAAGCCAAATGGATGTGGCAGGAAAGATGTCTGGCACAAACACATTTCTCCTGGTCTTTAATATAGCCTATATACAACATAGTAAATACATGCTTATACTGGCATAGATGTCACAGTGCAATGCCATGACTCCAATTCAGTGTCTATTTTTACATTGCTTTTATTCTAAATGCCAGCATGAATGTTCTGCTTGCTCCTCCTGAGCCTACACACAAGCTGTCAGTGTTACTCACATGCTGCAGGACATAGAAACTGGCATGGCTCTTCAAAATGTGACACAGGTGGACAAAGCTTAAGGTTGCCAAAGCTTTTCATGGCTTTCAGCTTTGTGTTATAGGAGACATCTTAAGGACTTTTAACCATTCAAAAGATAAAATATTTTGTACTACTATTAGTACTAGTACAAATATTTTCATCAATTTGAGCTTAATTAAATTAAACAATCTGTTTTTACTTGTGTACTATATTCCATTGACCAAACAACTGTTAAAACATTTTTCTTTTATTCACATGGTCTAGGATGTGATGAGCGTTATGAAATCAAACTTTAAAATAAAGTCTATCTGACATCTGGCTTACTTTTTGGAGTAAAGATTTAATTGAAATGATTTTGCTCTCAATTTGCTTCAACTGCCATGGGATATTATGATTATTTTGTTGTTAATGTGGCCTGAATAATCATCATTATCTATTAACTGAATAATCCCCACAGCAGTACTTGTTGCATGGTTGACCCTTGCCTCTCATTTGCCCTCTGCTCAGATCTCTTCAGTCAGGTGGCATCTCCCGGTGACACATGTGACCAGAGGCAGCTGGGTCTGCTGCTGCATGAGGCCATTCAGATCCCCCGACAGCTGGGAGAGGTGGCAGCGTTCGGAGGGTCCAACATCGAGCCCAGTGTGCGCAGCTGCTTCCAACATGTACGTACACAGGAATACAAAAAACACTATTCATACTGAAGGTTTAAAGAAGCCCAAATACCACTACTAAATTATTTTAGTGTGTAATTTGAACAAAAATCACAAAAGAAATGCATAAAATATAAAATGAAGATAATGTGTTGGACATTCCAGTTGCTAAAGGTGTTGACGTAATAAAAAATTTATTTAATCACAATACAATTATATTTTTCCCTTTAGTTATTCAGCCCTACAGTTGACTGTCAGTTGCTAAGCCATGATTTGTATTCATAATTTGCATTCATGTTATATATGGTGACTATATATACATATATGTATGTATATATATGCGTATATGTATGTATGTATGTATATATGTGTGTGTGTGTGTGTGTGTACAGTTTAACGCTGATACAAACTCCATCATACCAGTATGAATCTTCATGATACACTTTAACTACAGACAAACACTAAAAGGGTCTATAGCACATTACCATTTATCACACTGTCTAAAACCAAAGCCAGGGCAGTGCATTATAGTAGCATACTTCACTTGTATCTATTCCCCTAACACAGGCGGCATTAGCCCTTCCTCCCTCCCCAGCTCCCCGAACAGATGCCTGCATGAACGTTTTCAAATTGCTGGAGTATTTAGTCTTGGCCGACCAACCATGACGCCTCGAATGGCCCTGCTCCTCTGCTGGCTGTCCTCTAGTTTTACAGCGGCCAGCACACCGTTTTCCTCGGTTTATCTCCGGACGTTAGCAGCATTTAATGACGTCTTCATCCTCCAGAGATTCTTCCTCCTGCCTTGGCTTGTGCAGCTCTACTCAAACGAGCCAAACATCAAAATTAGGAGGCTATAAATTTCACCCAATTCCTGCAGTATAGGTTTCCCAGAATAGCACCATACACAATTTGGATGTTACCTTAAACTTTTTCTCATTTTCTTTATGGTAGAGGGCAAGAACATGGGCAAATGATTCTAAAATTATAGTGATAAACTTTTAATGAACCTTTGACTGGAACTTGCATGTACTTAATTTAATTGGTCATGTAATGTGTAATATTGCAGACATATAATGTAATGGATTTTTGGACATGCACCAATTTGAGGTAATGGATATCTGTTTATGTGATCCCTCATTCATTCAGGAGTGGTTCAAGGTATCAAAAGTTCAAAAGTAGTCAATGGATATTGTAATTTTGTTTCTATAAAAATAATAAATTCCAGTACTAAAAAAGTAGGATTCTGTATTATCTAAGGAAAAAAAAGGAAAATTCAAAATCAGCATTAGCTGCTTAAAGTGACAGCCTAAAACCTAGAAATCACGCAACGTCTCTCAGAGCGGGCTTGCATCTCTCCTGTCCTGCTTGTTTCCATGGAAATGTTATTCCTTTGGCTATAATATTCCACAGCACTGCATGAACTGTATCTATCTCTATGGAAAATGTTTTAAATTATGGTTTTAATTATCTACCACCTTCAGAAAGTTACGTACTATATCTTTAAGTTTAATAATGAAAATAATGAAATATTTGTTTTTGTATATGATGCTGAACTAGACTTCTTATTTATTGCTATATTTATTGAGGAAAATACAGTCATTCGGTTCCAAACCCCTCATATTTCACCTCACACCTATTGTATAGTCTTTAGCTGTCCTCCTGATGGCCGTCCTCTGCAGTCTGAGTGCCTTTGTAATAAGCTGTGTGTGTCAGTCCGCCCTGGCACTACCACAGCACAGCTCCACTCCACTGGTTTAATGGGACCATGATGAATGCAAGGCTCTGCCAAAAATCTTCTTTATTTCACTCTCCTATTGTCACCGTCCTTCAGTCCCACATCCACTGGTTTGTCAGCGATCCCTTCAGGTCACTCTCCTAAACAATTATTAATTTACAAGTACCTTCATTCTGCTGGAGAAGGCAGGAAGGAGGAGATGAATCTAATGAATGGTAAAGTGCATGAGAGGAGATTCTAATGAGGGAAGGTCAAATAGAGGTGGAACAGCACTAGACTATAGGAACACCTAGTACATCCTTATTATGTTTGGATAGAGTACATATTTTTGGCTGAATTTTTTTTTTCTCCAGTTCTATTTGTTAAATTTGATGTTTTTTCCTTTTGAGTGTGAGAGGTTGGATTCCAAGGCTGTCTAGGAGTAATGATGGGTTAAAGCAGACACATAGCTTTTTAAAGGTGCAGTATGCAACTTCTTTTTGTCTCGATGGAGATGTTATTGTTTTTTGTTTTTTTTTTTCTTAAATGTTTCACACTTTTTCACATTTAATTTATCTGTCTTGCACTTATTATTACAGTAGGGTCACCTCTCTCCACGGATTTGATCTGTAACTTGACCTGCTGGCGTCACATGCTTGTATTATATGGTGGTTAAATGCCACACTGTGGAACATTCGGGCTTAGCAATAACATCTCAATAGAAGCAAACCAGAAAAGTTACTTACATAGAGCACCTTTAAATTAAGCAAAATATTTTTAACTCTTCTTGAACTAAAGCTACACATAAATAATCATAATAGAGTAATTATAGAGTTGATGTATTATGTGATGTGATGTATTAATTTCCCTTTTTAAATAACTCAAACCTTTTAACTTAAAGTCATTTTATCTGTTCTATCAGTAGCTGTATGCCTGCATGTTTTCAAATACACAAGTTTTCATGTACTATTTTTCCTTTCAGCTTTTTCATATTTTTAAGTAATATATTTTGCAGAATGTTTTGACATCAACCACTAGAAGGATAATGGTAATGCTGTGCCCGAATTCGGTATTTTACTTTTAAAATGGCAATATTTTTCCTCTTTTCACCACCATTCATAAACATGCTTTATAAGTTACGCTGTTTGCCTCTTGTAATGTCCTGCACATTGAAATGGTCCTATTTTTGTGGACAACCATTAAAAGTGTTGAGCCAAAAGTTTGAGAAGTTGAGTTATTCATAGCTTCTTAAAAAGTAAAATCTTGTTTTTTAGCACACAGCTGGATCATGGTCATGTTAAATGCAGATGCTGTGTCGACTGGAATCAACTTTTTATCGCTGAATATTTTCCACCTATAAAGATAAATAATAAGCTTGTACAAGTTATTAAGTGTCAACCCACAACTCAGAGCAATAATGAGGCTTGGGAAAGTGTCACTTCAAAATGTATGGTCATCTTAAAATTGTCTGCATCTTTATTGGCTTCTGGGAGTTACAACCCAATATTAATGGACAGTGTGTATGTTTTTATATCATGTCAAAACGCGTCCAGGGAACAGTTTTATAGATAATCAACAGCCTTTCTTGTTTTATGAAATTGTAAACTTCACCTTTATGTGTTTTTGTTTAATTAAATATTGACCTTGCTTTCGTTTGTGTGTGTGTGTCTTGTGGTACAGGTGACGTATAAAGTGGAGTTGGAGCCCAGGCAGTTTGTGGACTGGATGAGATTGGAACCACAGTCTATGGTGTGGCTGCCTGTACTGCACAGAGTCGCTGCAGCAGAGACAGCCAAGCACCAGGCCAAGTGTAACATCTGCAAAGAGTGTCCCATTGTGGGCTTCAGGTAATCACTGAAAATGTTTAGTAAAATTAGGGATGGGATGAGACACCAGACGAGACACGATCTATTGATTGGCTCTACGGGAACGAGACAAGATGGGGTCTTGACATTATTTGTAATAAATAAATTGTGCAATCTAGTTTCCAGTTTTAGCATCACAATTTTTTATTTACTTTTTAAAATATTTCTGCTGTCATTGTAGCACTGCTTTTTAAGACTACAGCTTCTCAAAAAATGTAACTCGCCAGTACTCCATTTATTTTATCCAATCCAAACTTGAAAACAGAGAAAAAAATCTCACAAGATAATTTTCAGAATGAGAAGATTGTGAGATCTTGTGGCATGAGAACTTGTCCCATCCCTACTATTTATCTTAAATGACATGCATTCTCATAATTCTTCATCTGTCATCTGTCCTTGTAATAGTACTTCAAAAATGTAGTGTAATTTCTTATTGATTTGTAAGTGTCATTATTCTGATGAAGACTGTAGAATGTCAGTTGTTAAGTGTTATTTTTCTAGTTGATTGTAAGAAACATCTTTATATACTTTGATCAGGTAGGCAGGCTTGATGTCTTTATCTAATGAGAAAACATTGTTATTGATTATTGCGAACCTATAAGAGCCATGTGCATCACTATATGACGGTTTGGGGCGATAGCATAGACTGTATAAAGAAGTGGACTAAGGGAGTGTGACATCACCCATAGTGTTCAGCTCCAGTCAAATGAAGAGCATAATGCAGTTATAGGAGCAATGTTAGAGCCAAGTTCCATATTATGACTAGGAATTTATTTACAGACAAGCTAGCAAAATAAAAAACCCAAGATCATATAGAGTGCATTAAGTCTAAGACCAAGATGACGAGTCTCACTGCAGCAGTACCAGAGAGAGGGGTGAAAATGTTTTAATAGAAAGTCAATTGGAGCAACAGATTTACAGATATGCCAAATGGTTTGTGAGGGCCAGGAACAGGTAGTATAGATCGAATAAACACCCATTTACTCCAGTCACTTTTTGAAAATCAGGTATCCAAGCTTTAAATATAAAACTCCTAATCATAGTGTGTTATCCAGAATTCTTCCAAAAAAGGCACATGGATCATTAACACAGTGGACAGACGATTATACATGATCCAAATGTGCCACAATTGTTTCCATGGGGCTGGGAGTAAAGGCCAAATGTGCTCCAGAGGGGAGGTATTTATCTAAATGTCAGCAGCTGATCCAGCACTGACTAAATACCATCCAGAGGTTTGCACTGAACATACTCACAGCATATTTACACAGACACTAGCCACATTTCCCAGTCCGCAAATGGCAACCGCATCTGCTTCTGAGATGGTACATTTGATTTTATCTGAAAACCATTGCTTTTCTCTTTACATAACTAGCTATATAAACCAGGGTGGCAACATTGTCCCCCTCAGATGTTTTGGTTTGCCAGTGGAAAGCAAAACATAGAGAGACATTTGATGAAGCATGCGTCGAGTAAGTTGTGTCAGTGATCGATGAGAGAGTGTTGAGTGAGGGTACGGCCACAAAAAGGGGAAAAGGAAAAGTAGCGTGTATTTTGTTTGGTCTGAAGACATGTTGACAGCTTGTTACTACAATGCTCCTTATGTTGCTGATATAGGCAAGACTACTAAGCAAGATCGGCTTTTAAGATTGTTACCGATCACATTCTCTGGCAATTATTTGTATCACTTTGAGATTTTCCTTAAATGTAAAAATGCTTTAAAAAAATATTATTATATTTGTTATAGACCAAGGAAAACTAACTATATTAAAAGCAAATAACAATAATTATGCTGAAATATGCAGATAACCTAATTTATTCCATATTGTCCCAGTGTTGTTCAAAATTATGTTCAAATAAAATGTTCAAATTACTGAACACTTTTTTTTTGTTTGCCCAAGAAGTTACTATGCAACAAAGGTCTGCATTTTATCAGTACTAGTTTCTCCCCCATATAGGAAGTATAGAATATAGGTCTGAAAATGTCATGCTCTATTCAGTTCTGAGAAAAATTCCTTCATTGATTTAATACCACAAAACACTTTTTTTTTTTTTTTAAACAACACAAAATAATACTAGTTTTGATAGATCAAGGCAACTCTAAATCTATTTTGGAAAGTGAAAATTTCTGCCTATTTTTTCAGCAACAATACTTTTTCAAAAGTGTCTGAGATTTTTTTTACAACCCTGAACACAATAACCTTACCTACAATATCCCACTTAAATTTTAAAACCCTTTAATTGTGGGTCATGCAGGGACCTCTTCTGTGAAGGTGAATGAAATCCCGCTCCTCCTGGTAATATGCTGCATGCTGGTGCGTAATGGTGCGTTTGACTTGAGTGGTGTTGTGTACGCTGTTGCATCCCTTTGATATATGGTGCTTTCTGGAATCTCATCAGTCAGTTCACCTTGGAGGAGGCGAGGAGCGAGAAAGATGAAAGGCCTGGACCATTATGTGTGAATGGCGCCTGTCTCTATTTAGTTGTTAAATGATCTTCTACCTTCCTTCTCTGTGATGTTGTGTTTTGGTGGGAATCCAGATGTCTGTCACATTGTCAGTATATATGGTTCTGTGCAAAAGTTTTAGTGGGGTGTTGAGTGGCTGAAAGGATACTGCATCATTTTGAAGTACGGATCAAAACATATCCATGGACTCCATCCATCCATTTTCTTCCGCTTATCCGGGGCCAGGTCGCAAGGGCAGCAGTCTAAGCAGGAACACTTTCTTCACCCCAGACAGTTCCTCTAGCTCCTCCACGGAGACCCCAAGGCGTTCCCAGGTCAGCTGAGTTACATAGTTTCTCCAGTGTGTCCTGGGTTTTCCCAAGGGCCTCCTCTCAGTGGGACATGCCCAGAACACTTCACCAGGGCGGCGCCCAGGAAGCATACAGAACAGAGCCTCAGATTTAGAGGAGCTGATCCATGGGTTTCAGGTGATGTCAAATTAAGAAGATTCCCATTGTAATAAACAATTACAAAACATCTGTCTTTAGAATGGGCCTCAAAATGGCGGCTGTTCATACCAGGATAACATCTGTAATCCATGAATTAATTTTAACAAATAAGAAATCGAGAAAACAAGACAATTAATTTAAGTTGAGATTTTTATGTTGTCAAGTATAAATCACTCAGTATTTTATTTTATTTTATTTTTTAATTCAGATGCCCTCGTTGAAACCTGCACAAAGCTGAAATTCTACTGCTACACTAAACTATAATTTCATTTTTCTTCTTAAGTAAGGTTACACTTTATTTTCCCCGTAGGGAAATCTGTCTTCTGCATTTGACCATGCTATGTCCATTTCACACATATCTTCTTTTTACCTCTGTTACCACCACAGTCCATTTCAAATGAGTGAATGTAGCCTGCAGGTGAACAAATATATATGCAGGGCAGGTTATGTTTAGCCCTGGAGCCATACAACGGACAGTCAACTAGAGCCTTTATAATGAAATATGAAAATGAAATGTGTGTTGTTATTGCTGAAACAAAGAGAGCATTACAACACAACCCCTGAACTAGATGTTAATTAAATTTGAATTAATTTTTGTGAACTATGTTTTAAAATATTGCTTGGTTTATTGCTTGTGCCTTGGTCTTGTAATTGCTTCTAGTCAGAATAGCCCAGATTGAAATTAATGTAGAATTTGTCAACAGTATGAAAGGTGCACTTGACGAATATGATATTTTGCTGGATCTATTCAGTTTGCCTCTGCACAGACTGAAGTCAAATCAGGTTCTACAGACTACTACTTGTCTTTCCTGTCCTTCTATAGATATATAATAAGTGATCCTCAAATTATTCTTACTGTTTCTCTATCTCCTCTTCTATTTCCAGGTATCGCAGTCTGAAGCATTTCAACTATGATGTCTGCCAGAGCTGCTTCTTCTCCGGTCGAACAGCTAAAGGACATAAGCTCAATTACCCCATGGTGGAGTACTGCACACCGGTAAGATACATATTAACAGCCAAAATGCAAGAGAAAATAAAGTTTTTTATTCAGCTTTTTAACTGTTTTCAAAGCAGTTTGGCTGGATACAGGCTTTATATAGACCAAATGTGATTATTTTATTATGTCTATTACCCACTATACTGTATGCAAAGACACATAAGTCACTTTGTGAGGAACCTGCAGTTATAATGTTTCTATGGGGGAAAAACAATCATTTTAATATAGAAGAGCTAGTCCATCACCCACTGTGCAACAACTACGAGAGCAAATGCGGAATTTAGGATATATATGGTGCCAAATATAGATAAGAAGAAATGGAGGAGTATAAAGTGGTCCAACAGAAGCTGCTCAGCACTCTACTACCGTGAAGCTAACACTGCCTGCTATTTTTAAAATCAGCGGAACAATTTGTTTACTTTTCATGGATAACAAAAAGTCAGCAACATCCATCAAGACTCAACTTGAATTTGTTGTGCTTTAAAATACCCATAATTCTCAAAGAAACTATTAAAACAGGGAAAAAATATTTCCTGTATATGCTGACTGTATTTTTGTATCATAAGATGTGACATTTTTGTTATTTAAATCAACAAAACTTTTTAATAACAACCTCTGAAATTGTCTCAGCTTTTTGCAGTGTGATTAGTATTTAATTTTGCAGGCAGACTTTGTCATTACCTCTGCATGATCTCTCCCGCTCAGAACTAATCCCACGGTCCACTGTGTTATGGACTTGAGTAGGTGATCCAAAAGTTCTGTGCTATAATTCTTGATTGAGTTGGCGATAAGTCTTGATTTGAGGGCACAAAGAGGAGGGCGATTGTCCTGCAGCCGCTCTTAGCTCTTTCTCAGTCTCAAACAGAGGCCACAAGTCTGAATGCTTCAAACTCAGGGCGGTGCTTGATAGATTTAGGTCAAACTTTCTTCAGTTTCTTTCTTTTTCACTTGGTATTTCTCAGAGAAAAGTGGAAAATGACCTCTCAAAGTCAACAAAACAAAACATTTGATCTGAAACATGTAAAATGTACACACAGAACAGTAACCAACACCTTGAGCCCATTAAGAATTCAAAATGAGATATTTAGATTTTGAAGTGTTATGTTAGTGTATAAGTGTTATGTTGAAAACTTATAAACTTGATTTTTTGGTGTACTTATAACTTCTCTGGTGATGGGTTTATTGTCTCTATTGATGGAGATGATAGTGCTTGGTCAAAATTGTCCCACAGTATAGCACAAAATGTAGCAAAATTTATCTTTATCTAAATGGTAAATAATATATAAAAATGACAGACTATGTTACAGGGTCAGATCTGTGGAGAGACGACCCTCCTCACAGTTAGAATGTTTTTTTTTATGTTTTTCTCAGTAATAAAACACCTCTAATTCCAGAAAGAGTACCAATAATAACAACTCTTTAGAGACAAACATGAAGTGTACTCCCACCAGAAAAGATATATATATATATTTTTTTTACTTATTTATTATTTATATTGTTTTGAAATAAGAGTTGTTTTATTCATCTTTTAGGTACAATGTTTGTTACTTTTTCCAGCTCTGCAAGTTGCCTTTGTCCCCTTATACTATATACTCTCTTTGTAGTTGAATACACCAACATCTTCACAGAGTCTGTATTTAATTTCACATGAACCAATGATAAAACAGTCCTAGCCCTTTGAGGTCTCTTTTCTAGCTCAGAGTAATATTTCACTTCTGTACAGAACAAACGCAAAGGGAGGTGAAGTTGACTTTCTCATCGAGGATTGCACACATGCCAGTGCGTTTCAATTTTGCCCAACACTGAACAGAACTAAAAGTGACTAGAGTGAAGATGTTTCTCAATTCTGTCATTTAATTTAGGTTTTCTATTTTGCAAATGGGACAGGTGTTGTATTTGGAGGAGCGTGTGTTGGGTACTGTGATCATTTCACTGACTTCACTGAAATAAGATACCTGTGTGACATGGTTAAGACAAAATGAGCTCAAAACTACATGGACACATGTAAAGAAATTAAAGCCTGGGAGGACTGTGTAATCCCTCTGTTGTATGTTCCATCACAAAAGGCTCAACTGGAAAAGGTCTACGATTTACCAGAACCTTGCAACGGGGAAATAGTAGGTTAAATAAGGATTCAATATTTATCTATAAACTTTGAATAACATAAACATTTTAAATATAATAAAATATGATCTAAGTACAGTAAAATACTTCAAGATTACAATAAAGTGAATAAGTTATTGTTTTGCTAAACAAATACAGATTTCTTATTCATTCTTTAATGCACTTTTTCTGGCATCAGCACCACAGACTTTCCACTTAGAGTTGGTCCATAATTCTACATTGCATCTTTTATATGGAACAAAATAAACAAGAGAACATTACCCAGATTTTAGTGTCTTTGCCCTGGCTTCCAGTTTGTTTTAGAATTGATTGTAAGATTTTGTGGTTTGTTTTTAAAGCTTTGAATGGGCTGGCCTTAGACTACCCCTGAATTTTACATTGAAGGTTACCTTTCCTCCAAAATAATACATTATTGTGGTTGTCTCTCGGCTATTAAAGCAGAATAATTCCTTTCTGATTGTGTTGGTGGTATCAGCCTAGATTGGAATAATGAGTCCACTCAATGAATACAAAAACACATTTCATGTTGAATTAAGGCCTGATGGGCTCTTTTGTATCACAGTGAGGCCCTTTAATAAGATTCCCCTTCTCATTTTTGCCACATGGTGTACTTTATAGCCACAATATTGTCGTTTTATTGGGTTTGGATTTTATTGAAGTGGCATTTTCATAGTTCCAGTGGGTTCCATCAGTGAGATGGCAGAAGTTGGGGCTGCTGCTGTGCACTACTGACGACAGTGATGTTAATTTGACTTCTTCTTTCAGAGTCCTTCTATGGTTATTTCACATGATTCATTACTTGGTGTTATTTAACTTATAATAGCCTAATAGAAAAATAACTGAAAGAAAGATATTTTTAAAGTCTACAGGCCACTTGTTAAACAATCTAATTCAGCTCAGGTATTTTGAAAGTACTATTACTATATTGTAATTGCCTTCTTGATTTGTGTACTGTGCTCTTGTAACACACACCATTGCCCAATATTATTTTATCTTTGCCTGGTTAAAATCCAGACATTTATTTGTTTTGAGTTTCATAAAAGCAACCAGAACCTGCATTTGTATTGTATTTGGTTCATTTGTTCAAAAGTGGCACAGTTGAGTTGGATTTAGGGATACATTTTTAATAATACATTTTTTGTCGAAGTTGAAGTCTTGGAATTGTCATTTAACCCTAATCCATAATTTAGCCTGACATTACTAACAAGCCTTTTCCTCTCCCTCCTCTCTTCTTTAGACAACATCAGGCGAGGACATGCGTGATTTCACTAAAGTGCTCAAAAACAAGTTCAGATCCAAGAAGTACTTCGCCAAGCATCCTCGACTGGGATACCTGCCTGTGCAGACTGTGCTGGAGGGAGACAACCTGGAAACGTAAGGATACAAATATACACTATACATTTTAATGTGGGCGATAATGTTTTTGGTTAAAGGAACTGTATTTAGCTTGTGCTCTTACTGCTTTAAAATATATATTACAATCACCTAAACCTCAGTTGCCAGTGCCTTAACCTCCATTGAGAACCTATACAGAATTCCTCCAGAATTCACTCATTGAGCTGTAGAGTTTGCACTAGTATTGGTTTTTGAGTTTGGCTGCAGGTGCTGTGGTTTCGTGAGGATTCAGATCAGAGAGTGACCTTTTAGATTTAAACAAACTGGCAACCCTAATGAGAGACTAATGTGAGGCTCATCCTGCTTTCTGACTGGATAAATGTCCTGAGAAGCAAAGCACCAAGTTATAACATAAACAACTTGCTGTAATCTCAGATATTTTTGTAAAAGCTATATTTGATTTGAACGTCTACCCTGTTTATGGGGACACAGATAGGTAGTGTTTATGGAATTTAAGGTGAAAATCTTACATAGCCTACCATTCCTTTAATGTCCTACCCAAAATGGCAAAATCCCTTTAATCCTTACAGCTTAGCTCTCTTAAAAGCTGCTTATGCCTGCTACAGTAAATCCTGTAATCATCAAATCATTAGCGTTCCCATATTTTGACTTTCGAATTTTCACGGTCTGTTAATGTCCACTCAGTACATGTTTATTTACCTGTCTCCTTACGTTGTGTCTTAGCTGTAGATCTTGTAGCCATGGCAGCACGCTCAGTCCATACTTGTGAGTTATGAAGGTTTTGGCAGCTGTAAATCCCTGAGGAGTGAGCCTTTCAATGGAGAGCTTTATGTAAAAAGTTGGGGAAGTTGCCTCCTCCTTCACACTGGAATGTAATATTTAAGACTTTTTGGCATAATATTTTAAAGACTCCAAATTTCAAAACCTTTTCAGTGTTAAGTTTACTCTAAAATGAAGCAAAATGTAAATGAAGTAGCACCTTTCAGCAATAAGTAGAATGCCAAAATATTTAACCAACCTTCAACTTTTGCTTGTATTTTATTTAGTGAATACTTAAATAGACAGAACCCTATTTGCTTTGTAAACTTTGCTTAAAAATTAATTTGCACAAATTCAAAATATACTTGTCTTTCCGAGTACAACCAGATCGAATCCAGGACTATTCCCAGCTGTTAACATGGGTTTAAAAATAGGATAACACAATTCCTATAATAGTTATAAACAAGGACTAAATCGAAGGAGGCAGATGTTGATTAAACTGGATCTAAATTCAGCAAACCTTTGATCTGCAGAGGAATCAATGTACCACACTTTGGGAACCTCTGATATTCAATTCCACTGTGAATCATACAGTTAAAGATTATTGCACTGATTATTCTGCCCTTTCTAATAGTGCCACTCTTCTTCTGTACAAGCTGGCACCAGAAGTGGTCCATATTCACAGCGCTCTGGTGATGACTCATTGGCAGAGTTAGCCCGACACAGTTGCACACTGTCACCTCTCAGATGGATGAATCCAGACCATTCACTCGTCCCATCGTTTGGCACCTACCTCCCTCTCACCTCCCATCACCTCCCCCTCACCTCCCACCATGTTCCAGTCCTGCACTCCAAAAAATGAATTTTACACAGCCTAGTTGACAGACGCTATCCTAACAGTCTAAAATGTCCAAATGTAAAGTTGGCAGATGCAGGTATATGTCAAAATAAAGTGGAAAGATAATATTCATGGTTTAAAAAAAGGAATTCTGGGATTGAGTTAACTTCCTTTTGTGAATGTAATCTGCAGAAAATGTCTTGCAAATTTTTAACCGTATATTTTGAGTCATTAAAACCCAAAATATTAAGATTTTACTAACAGTAACAGTAACTACATTTTAAGTATTCATATTAACTATTCATTACTTATCGACCATAAAGTACTGGCATTCGAGTAGCTTCTTCTTTCACAGTTTTGCATAAATAAATCTTTAACTGAAATACATTTTGCAGTTTGGGATTAAGGTTTTGGATTATTCAGATTAGGTTAACCTCCTCTCACCAACCAAAGGGCTTCTTCTTGCACCACACAACATTCCCCATATTTAAATTTCAAAATGTCTCAAACTTTACGATCCGCTTTGGGCTCTACTGGTCATCCAAAGAGTGATTCAGACAGAAAATGAGATGTGTGCTGTATAATTGGTATCTGCGATGCTCTAACTCTCCTTTTTCACTGTGTATCATAATTTCTTCCTTTTATTTTCCGCCCACTGCGCACCTCGATGGCCCCGATCTGCTCCTCGTCTCACCTCCCACTTTTCTCTCTGCCTGGTTTCACGGCAGACAGGATTTGGGATTTGTCACAGCGATATTCGATAATGTGAAAGAACGGGCGTAACTCGCTGCTGTTTTTTGGAGATTCTCAGCCTGTATAACCGCTACATTAGGTAACGCGTGCAGGTTAATGGTTTTGGGAGTAAGATGGAGGGCTTTATTGATTTAAAAAAAAATATATCATAAAATACTTTTATGTTACATTGACTATTATCATTCAGTACATTGTGTTGGGTAAATCTCATATTTTTGGTGTTTTCATTTCAACATTTCAGTACAAAAATCACCTTGGAAAAAGCTGATTGCATAAATTGATTCTATTTTTATGTCAGATGACATCCCCAAGTCTCATCATCATCATCATCATCATAAACTTAAGGGCTCCTTTTTCCCAATTCATGGGTATTTTTTTTATTTCAAGGCTTTGGCAGAATTTAAAGATGCACTGTCTAACTTCTTGTCATCCACTCCATGACGATGTTATTTTCATATTCAATTCCGAAGTAACATCTCCATGATCAGGTCACTGGAAAGGAGAAACTGTGACTGATCATAACAAAAATGTTTGTTTTTCACCTGTAATTGCTCTGACTGAAAAGTTACTTAGTGCATCTTTCATAAAATACCCAGCACATATAATCACAGGAAATAACAGGAAATGAGTGGGTGATTGTAGTTGATCGTTCATGTTGAAATATACACCCACAGACGGTCCAGTACCTAATAAATAGCTAATAAACAGTCAATCAACCCAGCCTTGTGTTGTATGCGAAATGATAAAGCTATAAAGATATGTTTTGATGCCTTCAGCCTAATGAGTGCATAAAACCAGAGCACTTCTAACAGCTGGTCAGTAATGAGTGGACATTAACACACAGACAACATCTATCTCCAACTCGCCCTACTCTGTCTCATATCTGAATACACGTGCAGAAGCTTCATAACACTGGGGTAATATACGGTAAAGCTTGTAATTACTTTTTATGTTTTTATTTATCGTCGTATAATTCTCATTCTTTGTCGTATCACAGATTGCGTGTCATTCATTACACGTACTAGTTCGTAATTGATGTTCTGAAAAATAAAAGGGTGTTCACACTGTCAGTCTGGAACAAATATGCTTAGACTGGGCAAGATTCATCATTATGTCCATTATACCATTCATAATCTGCCCCCGGCGGCCATGCACATTCAGCCGAATTTGATGAGAGCAAAGAAGAAGAGCATTTATTTCTGTTTTTATTACAACATCTGCCAAAATATTCCCAAAATATAAAATTCTATCAACATGTAAAACTAACTTGCTGTAGGATAACTTCTTAACAAATTACAATATATAGTTATTGTAATATTTTTCAAGGATTCAGACTGTTGAATCATCAGAACCTCTATTGAAATCACCTACACAGTGCACCACTAAATTATACCACAAGGATGCCCAAACCAGTGTTCTCATGCCAGCCTAGGAAGGGCATCTGGTGTAAAATATAATGCAATAACATAATCATAGACTATATAAAGAAGTGGACTCCAGTTAAATGAAGCTCACAGTGCCATTGGTTATAGAAGCGAATTTGGAGCCTTGTTCAATATTAGGAATAGGAATTTATTTAGGGACAAAACTGTGAAATAAAAACTCCAGGATCATTTAGAGTGGGTTAAGATGAATGTTTTAAGACCAAAATGATCACGCTCACTGCAGCAGCCACAGAGAGAGGAGTGACAATTTTTCAGTGTAAAGTCAATTGAAATCAGAGTCAGTGGAGCTGGAAGTGGGTTAGCTATGTTCATTTATATATATACAATCTATGAACATAGTATAATGTGCAAATTATTAGGCTAAAATAAAACATATATTTGCATTTCTCTAACTTTAAATCTACATCTGACTCATACTCCATTCAAATCAATATAAAAAGTCAAAACTGCACTTGTCATGTAAATGAATAGCCTTACCTTTTTCAAAATAAAATTCTTAAACAAATCCATTGCCCGAACAATAACTTGTCACCATCGTCATAGAAACAATCTATTTTAGTTCTAGCTCAGCCATTTATTTTGACTGCAGCTCAGGAGCACAAGTCAGATGTGAACACTGTTATTGCTTTTTTCCAGCAGACCGAGGCGGTCGTCCATTCAAATACAGTTTAGTGGAGCGGCCATATTTGTCAAGGCACAATATTCCCAAGGACTCTGCCATTACATTGCCCTCCCTTTTGTGTGCGTCAATATCATCCTTCACTGTTATTTTGTATAGTCCTTTGAGTATTTCCGTTTTTATTGAGTTAGTTTAGTTGTTTTCAAACTCAGAAAACAAGATTGCTGGTTTAATAGATAACCTGAGATCTAAAATGGTTTAGATTATGTGAGTTGGAATTAATCTACAAATGTTATTTATAAAGAGATTGGGGCGATAAAATCAAGTTGTAATCTGACCTTGTAATGATCTATTACGTCAGTGCTAGGTCAGTGCTTTTCTGTGTAGCTGTTTCTATTTTTAGCAGCTCTACGGATGAAATATGTTATTATTCTAAGAAAAAAATCACAAATGTATATTTCACAATCATTGATCATGATAAGAATCTTTCATTTTATTTCATTCACTTTTTGCATTTGCTCATCATTCCTCATATGTGACCAGCTTTATGAAATAATCGCACTAGGCAATGTCTATAAAATGTCTATAAAAATAAATGTAACAGACCAGCCAGTTAAAACAGCACTATACATTTAGACAGACTGGATTTAAATGAATGTAATTATTATTTTGTAGTAATCAATTACTCTTAACATTCCAACTCTAACACAGATAAATCCCATCTACTTTCCCCCTCCCTCTCTTCTTATTGGTCCAACTGTCAGGTTTTAAGTTAGTGACAGCTGCATTTAACCAATCACAGTGAAGTGTGACGAAAACAATGACTTTAGCTGCCTGTTACAGACAACATAAAGCTATTTAATTTACAGCTTTAAAGTGGGCCCTTTGCCTTAAGACAACAGTTAAATTACTTTTTTCATATTGTCCACTTTATTAATTTTAGTCAATTATGGCTCTATATTGTCTGGAGTGTTAGTTGTTGTTAAAAGTCTATTGCAGCTCTCCAGGCTCCTGTGATTAGCAGTGACACAAACAGGGTGACAGCGGCACCCGTGGGGGCTCTCGAACACTGAGTAGTTGTTCCCCTCTGAATTGTGTGACACATTTCACATTTTCCTCTGAGCTACAGATGTGTTGGAGAATGGGCCATCCCGCTGTGAGCTATACAAGCATTCTGTAGCTTTTATCTGCGTGAACATTGCAACAAAAGAACTCCGAAAAGGGCCTGTACCAAACTGTTCCTGGAAAATCTCACTTAAAGTCTAGTAGGATTGTCATGTATCACAGAGTATTACTGTAAATGAGTATAGTACAGGCTACATTATGGACCAGTTCAAGTTGAATGTTGCTGGAAGGTGTTTAAAGATGTATTTAAAGGTCCTCTGTGTAACTTTTTCCCTGCTTTTCTTCATGGAGTTATTGCCTGGAATGTTTCACAGTATGGCATTACACTTACTTATCTCCACAGAAGCAGGGTGACATGACAGGGCCACCTTACATGTCAAATCTGTGGAGAGGCGAGCCCACTCATAGTAAGAATGCAAGTTTTAGGTCAATAAAAACCCATGTTATTAACTAAATGCAAGATGGATATGTTTAATGCCATACTGGGACATTCCAGACTAAAAGACAAAGTAACATCTTCATGGAGACAAGCAGTTGGTGGATCCTCTACTAGAAAGGTTACACAGCACACCTTTAAATGTGATTTCCTTTTCAAAATTAACTACTAAATGATTTTACGCTTGCAGAACTTTTTTTTTTAAAGCTCTGTGTTGTTGCAATAGTAGTAGTAATTATTAGGGCTTATCTTTGTATAAGGTAAGAAATTATAATTGATTTTTTAACACTTAACAATTTTGAAACTTCACCTTGATAACTTCTTCCTCAAAATGCACAATTTCAAAGTTATTCCAGTGCACAAAGACTAAACCACAGGTGGCGAATACTCAGATAATATTATGAGATTTTCCTTCACAATTTTTTCCCTCCACCTGCTGTTACTGTATGGTTTTAACCCTCTCCTCTCCTCCTCTTCCCATCCTCCTCCTCTCCTCTCCTCCTCTCCCTGCAGTCCCGTTACCCTGATCAGCATGTGTCCGGAGCAGTACGAGTGAGTATAGACGACAACCGGAACCTTCAGCCTGGACCCCTCGCCACTTACTCTCACCAGCTTCATATATTTTGTCTTGAACTGTCACAGGAATGCTGCAGATGCCCTCATTCACTATTAACATAATGTAGTTTTCCGTGACTAACTTCTCTAACTCAAAGCATGTTGCCTGCCGCTCATGCATCCCCGACCTGCCCATCTTTTCAGCAGTAGATCATCCGCCATGTTTGTTTTTAGATGGGAGATAGCAGCCAAGATTGTGTGCATGTGAATAAGGCTTAGCTAATGTTTGTGTGATGGGAAAGGCCAAATCTCATTCATCTCCATTACCTCATCCATTTGCAGGCTGTCCCAGTCACCCCAGCTCTCTCATGATGACACCCATTCCAGGATAGAGCAGTTCGCCAGCAGGTACGCACCCACCTACCCACCCAGGCACCCACAGGGCCATATCTCATCAGTGTTATCATCTCCTGCTTCCCAAACGTGTAATGAATGAGTGATTTGACCAATGTGGTGTGTAAATATAGCAATTTTATTCAGCGAAACACAAGTAAAAGTAAAAAGTGAATATTGAAGAAACTATATCTTAGTGAAAATGTGCATGCAATTTATTTGTAATATGGAATTACACCACAGTTGTAATGAGCTGAGGTGCACCACTGGGGATCATTGCGAGAGATTATTCTGCAAACCGCACATTGCATTTTTCCATCTCTATTTCCATAAACGAGCCATATTTATATTTCCATATTTATGAACCAATAACATTTCCAAATGTTGTACAAGATATGCATACACTATTAAGTAATGAAATAAAATATCAGATTGTCCAACAAATACTTTTTAAAGTCAACTGTTATGGCATTTCTACACACACTGAGTACTTATATATTCAAATTTGAGAAAATATTTAACTGATTTTGGATTTACCAGATTTTCCATAGTTTTAGGGCCAAAAAATCGGCAAAAACCCTGTTATTATGTTAGCCAAATAGTGTTTGTTTTCCTCACAAATCAACACAAAAGATGCTTTTTGATCGATTCTCAAAATTTTAAAATTCTTCATATTGAGGTATTAATGTCAAATTTCTGAATCAATTTGAGTTTAAAACAATCTCAGGTTGCTGCTGTTCAGATAATCCATACCACAAATGAGGGAATAATCAAAGAAATATTATAATATATGACACAATTTTACTATTCTGTGTGCAATACAGACAAACTTAAAGGTGCATTGTGTAACTTTGCTGGTGGAAGGTCTGTCAAATGATTTCTTTATCTGGAATGTTTCACAGTATGGCATTAAACCCTTCTATCTTTATGGAGACCAAACCAGACCAACTTATAGGTCAGATCTGTGGAGAGGAAAACCCTCTCACAGTCAGAATGCCTGTTTTTCTAGGTATTTTTGAGCAGTAAAACCACCTGTAAAAAAAATACCTGTAATTTAATAAATGTAACAGAGATATTTAATGTCACACTGTGGAATATTCCAGGCCGAGCAATGACATCTCTATAGAAACAAGCAGGTGACGGACCCCCAATAAAAAAGTTACGTAGTGCATCTTAAAGAAAACTTAAAACTTATATATATTATATATATATATATATATATATATATATATATATATATATATATATATATATATATATATATATATATATATAAGATATCATAATAACGTTTTAAAATATGAATACATGGCATACATGATGTTTAGTTGAATACACAAGATTTATTTATTTTTTACGCAGGCTGGATGAGACATGGCTACTCACTGCACACCCTAGTGACAAAATGTATACACATCAGAGCGATTACAAATCCACCATTAGCCTATTACACACTCCCACTCTCCCTTGTTTGCCCACACACACACACGCATTGCTAATCAGACCTTACTAATGACGCCCTCTGTACTCCGAATTGGATCCCTGTCATGTTTAATATATTTTAAGATCTCCAGTGTCCCAAATTCCAACCTCCACGCAGACTGCACTTGTAGAAATGTCCTGTTTCGGCTCAGAGCGCATTGTGAGAAGGTTATCAATGTCAAAGCTGTACTCCCCTTTATATAGTGAGCTCTTATAACTAGACTTTTGATGCAGCGCTGCTCCGGGTGCCCTGTAACCCGCTATTGGTCACACACCATTAACCTCTGCTCGGTGTCATTGGGTTTTATCAGCACCCACACACACGTTCTAAAATACAACCACTATATAGATAGACACAAGCTCTGCTCATTATAAAGCCCCTTATGGAATTACATTTGCACAAGGCACGCAATTAGATGATGAAACTCACTGTATTGTAAATCTAATACGCTACCTCATGCCTGCATTTGGTTATTGTTCAATATAAAAGATTGTGTTTGTAGACGCTGTATTACAACTGGACTCTGGAGTGGGCGAAATATAGACTTTGATCACAGCGCAGTCTCATTAGTGTAGGATTACAAACACAAAACCATGTGTGTGCGCAGTTGTTGGTCATTCACTGTGTATTAGTCAGACTGGAATGTATTGAATCAAACAGTATGGTTGTTTAGGGAAATTTTTTATTTCCAGAGTAATTTTTCTTCTGTTTTATGGTATTTTCTATTGTTTTTTCTTATAGGTTAGCCCAGATGGAGCGATCAAACGGATCTCTGCCCACTGATAGCAGTTCTGCCACAGGAAGCATGTAAGTATTTATTTGAAAAGAAAATAACATTATTAGTACACTCGAAAAACACTTTAACACAAAACAATTTAGACTTTAAAAGAGCACTAAGTAAGTTTTCCTGTGACGCGTCTGCCACCTGCTTGTTTCCATGGTGATGTTTATTGCTTTACTTGAAATGTTTCACAGAATGGCATTAAGCATTTCTATCCTGCATTCACTCGATTACAAACATTTGTGTTGCCGTATTTTTGGGACTATTGAGCGCACCTGAATATAAGCCACATCAACTAAATTTTAACTACATTTTAAAACTGTACATATATAGGCTGTACCTGAATATAAGCCGCCGGTGTCCACATCTTCAAGAATGTTATCAAGTTCGGGCCATCTGCTTTTATCGCCTCTAAAAGCTTTTGTCATCTTTTTGCAGTTCGTCACGCTGCCATTGTCAAAATCTCCCTATCGACTCATTGATGCCGAGCTCTTGTGCAGCAGCTCTGTTTCCTTCTTCGACAGCCACATCAATTTCCGTTAATTATTAATCATCTACATGTCTTCATATATTTTCCATGAGGAGGGTGTGTGTATGAAGCGCAAAATAACTGTTCAAAACACAATCAAACGAGCATCTTCCTTTTTCGCATCACCCCCGTCTCTCCCCGCGCTCTACTGCGCATGACTCCTGCAGAAAGAGCCGATGTCCTGTCTGTATCATGTCAGTGTCTTGTAGGATTTCAGCAGATTTCAGGCTCTCTCAGGAGCGAGGCTAGTTCTATCAGTCAGGTATGATTGGATGTCCGACTACTGAAGTTTGAGACGTTTCTTCTCGTCATTTACTCATACGGGTAAGACGTATCCCCCTCACTAACGTTCATTTAGCCTCATAATTTATTTTAGCACATGTCAATAAACAATATCACTAGCTAGTGTAGCAACTTCATGTTAACCCTAGATCCATGTGTTAACCACACAGACAGCCGCACTTTCTGCACTCAGGCTGTGCATATCCGCTGTTTTGCCAAAATATAGACCGTATATATGAATAGGCAATGGGCCAAATAAAGAATCCACCTGTATATTTGCCACATTGTTTTATTAGCCACAGAGTTCAAAGTGTGAGAAAAAAGTAGCAGCTTATAGTTCAGAATTTACGGTAAAGAACTTGCATTCTTATTGTTAGCCCTAGCTGCAGCAAGTATTATGATATCTTTTCCATGTAATCATTTTTGTTGATGCAGAGAATGAATTTGGAGTAAACTACTATGCCAATGTTAGGGTAACATACAAAATTAAGATATAAAAAGTAAAATTATATAGTTGAGGAAATACATAATTTTTAATGCATTATATTCATGTGATACAATAAACACAGTCTTATTCACCTTAAAAGTTCAAAGTAAAAGTATTTCTGAGTTCCTCCATTCATCACAGGCACAAAGCAATGATCCATTTTAAATCCAACATATTCCCTCACTTTTATGTTATGAATCCAAATGCCTGTCACTTTTCATTGCGGTCGAGATGAGAGCCAGAGTGAAACAATGCCGATGAATACCTCAGCAGCAGGAGGGCCCTTCCAAAGCTCCGTAATAGATTATAGTGACAACAGAAGAAACTGATGGGTTTTTAGATGTGTAATAGCAACCGGTTATCTGCGATCAAGGCCTGGATGAAAAAGCAGAAATTACAAAGAGAGGTAGATGAGGATGACCTGTGATGACATTTGTACGGCTGTGCGTGTGTGTGTGTGTGTGTGTGTGTGTGTGTGCGTGTGTGTGTATGTCTGTGTGTCCGTCTGTGTGTCCAGGGCTTGAAGGACACATGGGTCTACTTCCTCACAGATCCTAATCGTTGGAATGAGCTTGGACGGCCTTTCAATCTCCCTCTGCTCTTTGAGGAGAATTGCCTTTCCTCGAGTCAGCATAGTTCGATAAGATACTTGTAGATTTGTAAAGATTTATATTTTTACTAGCTCCATTCATAAACTTAAATGAGAGAATCTGTCCAGTGTTAGCGCATGTGAAGTGAAGTGGACACATTACCGGCACTACTATAGACTCTTAAACTATAGTGTAGCTCTTATCTACTATGTTAAAGGTGCACTATGTAACTTTTCTAGTGGAGGGTAGCCACTTGCTTTTTCAGATATTATTTCTTTGTCTGGAAAGGCATCAATCAATCTGTCAAACTTTATTTATAGAGCGCTTTTCCTACAAAAAATGCAACACAAGGCGATTACAGTGTTTAAAAACAATCTCATATTTCCTTCCATCACCCCACAAAGTTAAGCTAAACAGTTCGGTCTTCAGATTACTATCTGTGACATAATTATCTTTTTTTTTTTTTACTATCTATCTGGATCTAACTATCTAACTCTCTGGAATCTGACATAACTATCTTTTTTACGACTAACTGTCTGGAATCTGGGACACTAACTATCTTCAATAGTTATCTATCACTCGTCTATCTTAAAGTTACTCAATTCAAGCTGTTTCTATCGCATAAAAATATCTTGAAATATATCTTACTGTGAACTGCCTTTCCACAGATCAGACCTGTTAACTGGGCCTGATTGTGTTACCTGCTTGTTCCAATTAAGCAGATAGGTTTGATGCCATACTGTGGGCAAAACAATAACATTTCCATGGATAGTAGAGTGGTTTATTTCAAATTTTGCATTCGTTTACGTCATCTCTAACCTGCTCTATTCTGCATGATCTGGTTTTTGGCTTTGATAGCTCAGTCCAGGTATTGTCCTAAGGCTTACAATTATATTAAACTCAGAAACCCAATTTGTTCCAGACTGAAAGACTCGACCATTTTGAATTTTAGCCTTCTCCAAAAAGTATTGAAATGGTCAAGAATTCATTACGAAAAACAAAATCAAAAGTGAAAAAGTGCAGAGCTTTGAAGTCTTGGATAGAATGTGGCACATACAGACTTATTGTCTCTACTGACCAAACAAAATTTTCCCAAAAGACCCCCAAAGGCATTTCTCTTTATTTTTGTGGCTTTTAGTGGGAACAATAAGACAGGAGGAAAATAAAGCAAAGAAAGGCTAAAATGGTTTTGGTGAGGACTTGTGATGTGGAGGTGCAGTTCAGTGGAGGGACTGTTTCCTCTCCTCTCTTTGTGATGTGGGATAAACACATTATCCTCACTGTTTTGTTTTTATGGCTTTTGTAAGAAGAGCAGGCACATTATAATTAGAAAGGCTTTGCACACTAATGAGCAGGAGAAGCATGGGCTACTGAAGGATATTACATTTACTCTGTGTATACAATAACAATCAAGAGGAAGTGTTTGCTTTTTAATAGTAGTAGTGGTAGCAGTAGTAGTTGTACCAGCAGTTGTTGTAGTAGTTGTAGTAACACCAGCAGTTGTAGTGGTAGTAATTTCAGCTATTGCAGTGGTAATACCAGTAGTAGTAGTAGTAGTAGTAGTAGTAGTAGTAGTAGTAGTAGTAGTAGTAGTAGTAGTAGTAGTAGTAGTAGTAGTAGTAGTAGTAGTAGTAGTAGTAGTAGCAGCAGCAGCATAGGTAATGACATCTCATGTACTTTTCGAAGAAATTACTTCACATGGTACTTTTTTTCTGTAATAATTGTACTTTAACTAGAGTGCAGACGTATTTGCTTGAAGCACAAAGTGGCACCTGTCTCTGGTCTGACATGGCCTTTATATAGTAATGTCTATTTTATGATGCTGAAGGGCTAGACATGATTAGCCATTTCCATAAAAATGAATCATAATTAATCATAAAGCACTGTGTGAATTTCGATTTTTTTTTTTTTGCAGCCTTAATTGTCTCACTAATTGAGGAGGAAATGAAAATAACCCAATTAGTCTTTGGTTCTAAGTGTTTGGGATGAATCATCATTTGAATGATTTTGAGCACATAATCTTAAGTGTGTTTGGAATTAAGAATGAATAGAGACAGCTGAAATATACACTGATCACACATAATATTATTACTTTTAATCTCACCCTTGTGAAACATGGGACATGTGAAATTACACAGTTAACACATTTTAAAATATGCAGTTCTTATTAGGTGTTTGTATACTGCCTACTGATGACCAATCAAAAGTTTTACAATTTGGGATGGGACATTATCTCATGCCACCAGATCTTGTGAGATAAAATTGCCAAAAGATTGTGCACAAAAGTAAAAAAAAAAAAAGCAGTGCAAAATATTACTTTACGAAATATTAAATTAAGTCAAATCTAATCTATGAGACCAAAACTTTTTCGTCTCATCTTGTGGAAATTGTGTCCGGTCTCACTCCTAAAAGCAATAATAACTATAGCACAGTTATAGAGTGGATGTCATTTTGGCTGCACAGTGGGATAAATGCATATATCTTTCCATTTATTTTAAGATATTCACTGTTTTCTTTTTAATAAACTTGGTGCGCAATGATGCTTCAAACTGTCTGCTTTAAAGCCACAAAGACAATATTTTCCACAGCATTTATTTGACAAAATATCCTTTTGCAATAACCCTCAAATATATTACTTTCAAACCTGTGTGTAAATTACATAGATTTATCTGACACTCTCTTTCTCTCAGTTCCTCTCCCATCTGTTTTTTTAAGATCGTTTTCTTGGCATCTCTCCGTAGTGGTTCATTGTTTGTCTTTTGTGTATTTTGAGATCTTGCCCACAGTTGCTTATATAGCGCCCACACGCCTCACAGATCAGCACAACCCAGAATGCATTGGTTTATGAAAACATCCAGGCCGGACATGAGTGACTGGGTTTGCCAATTACATGCATGTTTGCCTTCTGGCTTGTTTTGTGCCGCAAAGAGTGATTCTGCATCTCTGCCAGCTGCGCAGTGATATCCATATTTACTATGGTATTTGTGCATGTTAAACCTTTGATAAAGTGCTGTTTCTCTCTTTCACGTGGCAAAAATTAAACACTTAATTATTATTGCCGTATCTATGTACCAAAAGCATGGTTTCTTTTAGTGCAGCACAGTAGAGCGCAAAATTATAGTTATTGAGATCTTGACTAGAAATCTGCATATTTCTTGAAACTAAATACACCAGAATGAGACCAAGGTTCAAGTAATGTAAAAGATTTTAGTCATAATTCTATTTATTTAGTCCTAATATCATGGTTTAGTTTCGTTAAGTCTGTGTAAGGTGCTGTACCTGATTTTTATGTCTTAAAAACTGTTTGCAGTGGTCCATAGTTATTCCTCACTTACCTTATACTCCACAACGATGAGTTTTAAAGAGCCTATCACAACTTTCAGAGATGTTTACCTTCACTGTAAATCAACAACTACCATGCTAACCACACACTTTCTGCTTCTCAGAAAATAAATGATTTATAATTAGGTGCAGACAGTACAAAGTGAACTTATTTTGACCTCAGAAGCTGCTTACGCTTCATATCTTTACTGGGGCAAGACAAAATATGCTCAAATAAGTGGAAAAAAATTGGGTGCAAGCCTTTTAAGTTTTAATTTTTTGACAAGAAATTGGGTTTTAAGACAGCCCTTTTATCATCAATGTTTTACCAATTCTTTGCTAGGTTTCTTTGTCCCCACTTAATTTTAATCATGCTCCACCTCTGGGCCCTTGCAGTTTTGCACAAAGCAGTCAGTAAACTTTGAAATGAGTTACTTTGAAGCCTTGAATGAAAAAATAACATGCTTTGTGCTGGTCTTCCCTTTGATATTCTCATCTTTCCCCCTTGAATTGTCTTTTAAAATCGACTGTCATATAGCTTACCCAGATGCCTTTATTTTAGCTTTATTTTTTGTTTAATACAAGAAGTCAAGTGAGTTTAAAATACATATCATAAAACAACACTTACTTGTCCTTGATTTTCAAAAGCAGCTGATGATGTCTTAAAATCTCATTGTGAGAGATACAAAGAGCATTTTTGTTCAATATTGTCTAAACTAAACAATACACTGTCCTCACATTGTACTGAGACAAACCTTTATCTTCTGTTTATATCATCTCAGAGTGTGTCTAGCAGTAGCTGTATTATTGGATGTTTTTGTTATTAAAGTAGACATATAGTTTCTTGTAGCAGTAGCCAATTTTTTGGTCGAAGTAAGATTAGAAATGGGGTGTCAGTGGCCCAAGTGGTAGAGGTAATCGGAAAGTTGACAGGCCAATCCTTGCTCCAAATAGTGCATTCTGTCTTGGGCCAGTGTGGGCGGTGGTCAGAGTGGCAGGGTGGTTATTTTTGTGGTCAAACCAATTAAAGGTGCACTGTGTAACTTTTTTGCCACTTGCTTGACTCCATGGATATATATAATGCTTTGCCTGGAATGTTCTCTGTAAGGATCTACATTATGCAACATTGACTCTTTTAAGTTTTAACCCATGTTATAATGTTGTTACCTCCTCAAAACATACCTGGAGTTGTGTTTTGTTTCATTGACATACAGTATGTTTGAGTAATCCTTTGTCATTAGTATGTCTATATCAGATTAAAATGTTCTGTTCCTTGTTTGTGATGAAGCAGTAGTTTTCAAGTTAAGAGCTACCTTTTACCTTCTGTTCAGTAGAAACAAAAGTGCAAAGTTGAGGGCTGCAGTCATTCAGATGATTCTAGTGAAGGTGCATGGAGTTTAAAAACACAGCAGCACACTTGCTGTATTGCCACATGACATCACAAGGTGGTTTTTCTCTTTTTTTTGAGAGAAGAACACAGCCTAAATATATGGGTGGATGTGTGTTAAACATGTGTGAATGAAGCAAAACGCATTAGTTCAATTACAGGTGTTAGCACAGCTAAAATAAACCTTGGAAAACAAGCATTAAAGCAAGTGATGATATCAGCCATAATGAAAAGGAAAAGAAAAGACAGGATACATAATACACAACAACCTAATTAGTTCATAGAATTCATTAATGAATGTGTAGTCTCTCCTCTCAGTGCTTTCTCAGAGCAGAGGTGTAACGTCGTTAGCTCATTATATGGTCCTCGTTATAATGGCATTCTCAGACACCTCCTTGTGCTGTGTAAATGTCTAGATTTTCTTCTTTGAAATCTAACTTAAAAAGAACATTTTCTCAGATATAACTTTTTTGTGTAAACTTTCTGAATCAGCAATCTACACAACCCCCACAACGCAGTGCGACGAATGACAGCCAGCAGTCCTTCTTTAATCACCTCTCTCCCTTCCTCTCTCTATCTCTGATCCCTCTCTCTATATATTGGCTCTAGCCCTTCATTAATTTCCCCTCAGTCCTGTCAGCCCATTTCCTGTCTCCCCGCTTCCCAGGGCAGATGTTTGTTATCCCATTCTACCCACGGTCCATAATGATGCTCTCTGACCAGTTCTGGGTCGTCCTGCCAGGCCCAGCTCTAATTGGTGACTCTATTTGTGCACATCCACCATGTTTTTGAGTCCAGTGCTGTTCCCCGGGGGTTTTGGCGTGCTCGTTGACATCTCTATCTCCCACAGCGAGGCAGCAGGTTTGATGTAGAATGGCATTTCCTGCATTTGCCAGCGCTGCGTGAGTCAGTGAGATAAGAATTTCCGCCGTTTCAGCGCAGCGTCACTCAATTTGGATCGTAACAGCGGTTAATAAAGTTTGAGACGGGTGATTGATTGATGCATGGATGGTGAAAATGAAAAAAACGAGAAGATGACTGAAGTTATTTCTACATAAATTATTGTTTTAAAGAATTTTCAGACTCAAGTGTTTGTTGATTTTGGATAGTTTTCATTGAGTGTCTATGACTGTAACTTTAACTACTTGAGCATTAATCAAAAAAATTAAATCATTATTATTAGTGCAGTTTTAGGAACATTAACTACCCGGTTTTGTCCTGTATCTGAATTTATAACAAATGACATCTGGTTGACTTTAGCATAGGAAGAGAAATTCAAAAAAATCAAGTTTCTAAAAAAAATACATTTTGATACTAGTGAAACATTGGTCAGAAACACTTTTTGGTCCTTTGTAATTTTTGGAATACAGATAACTGTTCAAATGGCCAAAAGGTGATTATTGGATTTTTAAAAAATTATTTTTAGCTATGCACTAATACTAAATGACAAAATTTGAATGCTCATTCCTTTTGTGTGTCTGACACACTCTCCAGCCCCACATCACAAGAGACTGAGTGAGTAATAAAACATATTATTTCCAAAAACCTGGAAACAACTGTCTTATTGTGAAAAGGTGAGACCTCTATCAGTGCTGTGCCCAGCGCCAGTCGCAGAGATGCTATAATTACTGTCAATGTGACAAAAATGGCTTCCTGCTCCAGCCTCTTATTATGCACCCGGAGATGATGCCATTGTGAAACTGTGCTTGTTACTTATCAGTTTTCCAATTGTCCAATCTACTGGGTCTTATTTTAAACCTAAAGAACAACCTGGCCTTTATGCAGGGAGGCTGTGACAATAATAGCATTTAAAAAACAAATGTTTAACAGGCTTATTAGAAAGAATGGTTAACCAAAGGTTAATTAGTTCTAACAGTTTTAAATAACTGCATGTCCCCATTGTCCCCACTATTTCAGTGCATTTGAATGAGATTTACATGAGAAGTTATAGCAAATCACCCAAAATGTCTTTAAAACCATTTTCAAACTTTCACCTTGCTGCACAGTTTCTTGAGAGTTTTTAAAAACAGCCTTCCAACTGTGATAGTGTTTGTGTGCGTCAGGGTGAGTGGAGGTGACAGGTGGAGGTGACAGGTGGACCTGAGCTGAACCTGCTCTAGACCCTCTGAGCTTTCACAATGAACCCTGAGCACAAGGGCCTGTTTTCACCTCTGTCTAATGACTCTTATCACAACTCACTGGCATTCCTCTCCTTGGACTGTACAGGGCCAAACTTTTATGTTTAAGAGCGTATTGATTTCTTATGGTCCATAAGAAATGAGTACTTCATAAAAATCTGTACCTGATTTATCTGCATCTGTTTTCAAAACATGAAAAACATTTCTTTTTTTTTTATAACCACTTTTACCAGTTTTCAGCATACAGTAATCTTACTTTGACCCCAAGGCATTTCAAGAATATGCAGTATTGAACAGTTGGACTTTCAACCAAATTATAAAATGTAATCAAAGTCAATTGTGCATTTTTTCCAGGGACGACGAGCATGCTCTTATTCTTCAGTACTGTCAGACGCTGGGAGGAGGAGATAGCTCTCCCTGCAGTCAGCCCCAGAGTCCTGCACAAATCCTACTGGCCGTGGAGAGGGAGGAGCGCGGGGACCTGGAACGCATTATTGCACGTCTCGAGGAAGAACAAAGGTAAATTTATTCGTTAGCTTGGATGGTATTTTACGACTTCAGAGTATATATTGCATAACCTGTACGCAGATTAAGCTACTGTGTATTCTAATTTGGGGAAAATGTTACAGTTACTTTAAGTGTCTATGCTCCTGGATCCAAGACACAGCAGAATAGTTTGTTATAGACTTTCCTAAAAGAATAGTCACCCAAATTTTTCACACCGCCCCCTAAATTTTTCTCAGTACTGTAAAAAATAGTCCACCCACATAGTTCTCCTCAGCCTGTCACAATATTAAGTATATAGTGATACATTCTCAGTGCAGTCTATTGTCACATTCAACTTATGGCCACAGAAATGATTGCACATCACACATACTCGGGCTAGTCCAGGGCTGGTGCCAAACTCATAAATGTCAACTTAAGTAAAGCACTGCAGCTTACAGTTGAGAGTCGAGCCGAGAGTCGAGGAGGAAGGAGAGATTTGGAAAAGGGTCCTTTATGCTTTTTATATATCCTTTTCAAATAGGATTCCAGTCTAAAAGTAGAGGTAAACATGAGTGGATATTATATGGCACTATATAGTGCGGCTGCAGGAAATCACTTTTAAAACCGCAATGTATTACCATTATTCACTTAAGCACAATAGACTCGTATAAATCTTTTGTTTGGGGTGTAAATTGATTTCAGTTTATGCATAAAAGGCTTTGGGCAAAGAATAGTGTGTAAGTTAGTATAAAAATCCATATTGCATGCTGCCTGATAGCTAACAGAATGGATGGGACAAGGTCTCGTTCCACAAAATCTTGCAACTTAAAACTGACACAAGATTAGGCACACATGGGGAAAAAAGTGTCTTTACATGGGTCCTGCACAAAAAAGGCTCTTTGCTCTTGAGAAGGTGTAGTTCCAAAAATGAAGTGCTATTACAATCACAACGAAAATATAAAATAAGAAGATTGTAGGGGAACTAAAATGCTCAATTTATTTGTTTTATATTATGTTAAAATCTGCTCTTGTTCTCATAGACTCAGTCTCGACTCATATCTGGAAATTGTAGCCCGTCCCATCCCTAAATAGAACATATACAAGACTGCCTGGCTTCAAGATTTAGACTTAGACTTAGACAAACTTTATTGATCCACAAGAGAAATTATTTGGACGCAGTAGCTCACACATAACAATATATTATAATAACAAAGAGAAACATTTGAATGGTATAATAAGTTCTAAAGAAGTAGCAGAAATAGCAAGAGACTAGTGTCAAATAAGGCATAATCATATACAGTAAATTTATATGTACAATTAAAATAAAATATAGAAATATAGTAATAAAAATATATCTCAGCTATATACAAGAGGTCATAAGGAAAATAGTGCAAAAATGAGTGAGTTGTTGTACCGTTGTTCCCAATTCCCAGAGAGTTTACTGAATGTCTCTTCTCTCATCCAGTGAAATCTGCAAGCAAGAGAAATGATAGTAAAATGTTATAAAAATGGTAAAAGTAACACTCCAATTGTCTATAATATAACAATTTTGAATACCTGTTGCTTCAAGGACTCTGCAGAGGGAGTACGAGCAGTTGAAGGAGCAGCACGGTCAGAGGGGGGCACCCGAGGGCCCCTCCTCTCTCCCGGACGAAGCAGACCTGCTCGCTGAGGCCAAACTACTGCGTCAGCACAAGGGCCGTCTGGAGGCGCGCATGCACATCCTGGAGGAGCACAACAAACAGCTGGAGTCACAACTACAGCGGCTCAGACAGCTCCTGCACCAGGTATCACTCCACAGCACTGCACACGGCACATCTCATCTATATTCATGCACCTCCACCTCAAAGTATAGTCCCAACTCATGCAGAAAGTTAAAACTGTTAGACTGTGACTGTGGAAAATGTTTTGGGTTTGTGAGCTTCACTGATAACATAATTGCCTTAAAAACTCACTTAAAATTATAATTTGAGTATCTATATTGGACTTGAGGAGTAAACAAAAAAGTATGAGCATTAAAGTTGATAAAAATAATGTTTAATTTGTTTTGGATTGTCCCTTTATTATTTATACCCTCCAAACTGGCACACTGGAGACTTAATGACTATTCTGTGCTTACTGCTTACAGCCTCTCAATATGCAATCATCAAAACCAAATGTATTCAGGCCAGAGGCTGAAAGTGTCTAATATTAACAATACACATTATAACAGCACGACTCAAAGCAAGTCATCCAAACAGCTGACATTTTTGTCCTTGTAATCTGTCGATTAACACTCTTCTGGTGTTTTGGTTTATTTTTTTCTAATCCTTTTTCAATTTTCTCATACATCTGCAAAGTTGATTTTTTTCCCAGTCTGTTCTTTTAGTTCATTAGGTTTGTTTTGGAGCAGCAGCAGGGCGCTAATCGCACTTCACACACTTCGCTCACATACACCAGCTGGTCTGCTTTCAATACCGAAAAAAAAAACGGGCAAAATAATAACAAAAAACGTTTTTTAGTAAACAAGTCCAAGAATTATTAAGTAAACGTTTCTTAAATATGCAAAATCATTGGCCATTTTCTGCAGACCAGCCATCATGCTCAAATGAACCTTTTTGTGGTTGGTTTCAAATGTTTAAATTTTGAATGTGAATATGAATACAAATCCCGTCATAGCCTTTCAGTGCAGGGGTCTAGCGTCTGTGTCCAGCCCTGTCAATAGCCTCCACATTTGTTTATGCTTGCTCTAATTGGCGCACTGAGCCAGGGGGTAAAGTGGTGCCAAGAGAGAAGTGCAGATGTCTAGAGCTGCTTTGACAAACAGCCATCTCGGTGAATCAGCCTGAGTTAACACTTAGACAGGTATTGGCTCCGTGGCACTGAGAGAACCAGTCGTGCCCCAGGAAACGGGCTGTCAAAGCATCAACAAACGTGAGGAGGCAGGCACTCTCTGTATGATGCAATCTGTGAAGGTGCACCTGCCTATACAGTTTGGAATGCTCTTTGCCGTTCACTTAAAGGTGCGCTGTGTAGCTTTTTCTGGTGGAGGGTTCACCAATTTGCCTGTCTCCATGTAATGTTCTGCAAGTAAGAACGTGCATTTTTAAAGGGACAGTTCAGAATTTTGGACATAGGGGCTCATTTCCTTTTGAGCCAGAGTGTTGGAGACATGTGGAGACACTTTTTCAAATATTCCATCCAGTCCTTGTATGTGCAGAGGTCGCTGGTGCTAGGCTAGTGCATGTCAATGGCCATAGTTAGCCTGCCACTAAAAACAGTCTTACCCACTCCACAAAGCACCGGAGGCAAATCTATTATTACGCCAGACTATCCATGTATATGTTTGCGTCAATAGAATAACGTTTGAAATAAAACTAACCTTGCATCGCACGAATCGTCGCATGTTGAGGGACTATTTTCTCACATATCAGTCCGCCGCAGCCAAGCTTTCTATCAGGAAGTACACCTCACTACTGCTGCTCAGACATAAATCCTTCAAATGCAAGGTCGGTTTTACTTCTAAAATGATTCTATCAGCACAGACATTTACATCAACAGTCTGGTGTAATAATAGATTTGCTTCGAGTGCTTTGTGGAGTGGGTAAGACTGTTTTTAGTGGCAGGATAACTATGGCCGTTGACATGTGCTAGCCTAGCACCAGCGACCTCTGCAAATACAAGGACTTGATGGAATTTTTTGCAAAAAGTGTCTCCACACGTCTCCAACACTCTGGCTAACTAGAAAATGAGGCCCTATGTCCAAAATTCCAAACTGTCCCTTTAAAGGTGTATAATGGTTGAAAATGAAGAAATATTAAGGGTCGTTTCCATAGTAATTAATAATTCAAAACTAAATATTATATACTGGTAGTTTTGAATGGTTGACCGTCTTTAAAATGGCACCATATAACAGGAAGCTGAATATAAACTACTTGGGTGTATTCCAGGCAAAGCAATATAATCTCAATGGAGAAAAGCAGTTGGCGGACCCCTGGTGCACCAATAAGAGCAAGCTAAACAAAATGGGTTGTACTCATAAACTGAATATATAAATGGACATAGCTAACCCACTTGCTGCCGTGCTCCAAATAGGAAGTGAGAATGGGCACTCTTCTGGTCTCATTGACTCTAATTCACTTCGTATTAAAAAATCGTCACTCCTCTCTGTAACTGCTGCTGTCAGGCTCCCCATTTTGGTCTTAAAATGTCGGTATTAACCCGCTCTAGATGATCCTGGTGTTTTATTTCGCTGTTTTATCCATAAATCAATTCCTATTCCTAATATGAAACTCTGCCTCAAATTTTTATCTGCTAGCTACTAAACAGCATAGTTCTATCATGGTAAGAGGATGGAAATGGCACTGGGAAAACAAGTAAATGCATTTGCTGCCCTGTTTATGCGTTGTTATTATTATCTTGGTAATTTATAGATGGTCATTTGAAACTGGGTTGGCATTATAAAACCAGGAAATATTACATGGTTTAAGTCATGTGCTACCATAAAATTAATTTGTTTGTGGTTAATAAACAGTAGTATTTGTTTTGTTGTATTGCAAATGACAGTAATGGCTCTATCTCATTATAAAACATTCTGGCCCCACACTAATGTTTTCTGACAATCTGTTGCTAGTTTTCATTACTTGGATCTTTTGGCAAATTCCTCCAATTATATCATGGTGTAATTTTAAAGTAATTTTGACAGAGCTATCTCAGGCCAGTACCAGCCCTCCCCGCTATAAAAAAAAAATGTGTACAATGTCATATTTTGTTTACTATTGACATAAAACCACCTGTACCCACACAGACGTCAGAAAGCTAAATAAGAACTGGATTTCTGACCGGAGGTCCCTGGAGTCCTGCCCATATGTCAAAGCACCTCAGCCCCAGAGCCGGCCAGCAGCAGAATAGCACAGCAACTCAATAGCCCATATCAAACCCACTGCTGAAATCTGACCGGCCCCCGACCCCACTATTCTCAATCCAGCCTTCACAGCTACTGGGTGTTATAGCTCACCACAGCTACAGGCAGCAGAAGTGGAAAAGAAGTATAAATGAATTAGGCTGCAATGCTAATATGGGTTAAAGCTTTATGCTGGATTTATGCTGGATTATGCCCAGTGTTGGGAAGTAGCTGAATGCATGTACCGAGAATACGTATTCAGAATACTCATTTTGAGTAACTGTTTTACTTTTTCATTTGGAGAATTTCAGAAAACATTTACTTTTCCAAAATCAAAGGGGGGTACTTGATCACATGATTTAGGCTTCAAACTGCATGATATTAGTGAGAAAAACAGAAAACATTGTCTGTATGTGTAATTTTTTCCTTCTCCAATTAGGTACGGGAAATGCATAAACAGTCAAACAAATATAAAGCTGTTTTTAATACTATGTTGCATCTTTACGTTATAGTTTATGTCCAACTCTACGTGAAAGTATTCTAAGTATGCAGAATATTGTTCTCTCATTGGACCATGTAATGGAATATGTTACAAAATACATTTTAATGTAGGTATTTAGTATTTAGTAACTAAATACATTTTCAAAGTATTCTTCCCTTCACTGCTTATGCCACAAATGCCACTACAAACATTTGAAGAGTTTCCTTATGGACAGTGTAACATGATGGAGAGGCAGTACCTACACAGAAACAAAATGCAATGGTACAAACTACTGAAAGCACATGAACAGAAATTGAATTAATTATAATAGTAATATTATAAAAGTAATATTATTGTCAAAAATATTGGTAATTTGTGCTTAATGGTGTGCTATGTACCTTTTCTGATGGAGGGTCTGCTACCTGCTTATCTCCATAGAGATGTTATTGCTTTGCCTTGAATGTTCCACAGTATTGCATTTAACTTACCTAGCTTGCATTTAATCAATATTCATGGTGTTTAATAACATGTATTCTTTCCATGAGCTCGTTCCTTTTCCATAGATAAAACCTGTAACTTGGCCTAGTGGTACGTTTATTGCTATACCACGGAACATTCTTCACAAAGCAGTTAAATCAGAAAGTTTCACAGTGCACTTTTAAAGTTTTTGCATTGGAACATTTATACTTAAAATCTGATAAGACACGATTATCATACCATTATTTTGACATTTTCACAAGTAAGTGTAGACATTGCCTCTCTCAGTCCTGGATCAATAATCTTCTGGCAAGAATTGACATTCGAGACAATTTATTGATGCTACCACAGAAGGAAAACGCTTAGAGGAAGAAGTCAGCAAAAGTTTGTACTGAGTAGTTTCTAAATATTCAGAAATGCAATTCAAACCTGCTTTATTGGCTCATTATTTAACTTCAGTGCACTCAAGATTCTGAAATGGCTCCTCTCCACTTGCTCTAAACTCTCATCTCTTTCGGTGCTGTAATAATAATCAACAGTGGACTTGTGCCAAAAGCCCCACTCCCTCTCATCCTCTGCAGTCTGAGTATGAATGACAGGACACTGGAGTCATCCTGGGCCCTGCATAATACCCGGTTTGTCAGGTGTGTTTTCTGCACCTGACAGTCTCATTGTGCACACTTTTAATATGCCATGGCTAATTTTGGACCTGTCACCAGTCTAGCTAATCCTAAGTGGAATAATTAACTTGAAGTGCTTTTCCTTTTTCTCTTTTTCTCCCTCTCTCTTCCCTTTCTTTCGCAGCCGGATGCAGACCTGAGGGTGAACGGGGTGTCATCGTCCCCTATAGCGCAAGGAGCACTTAACGACAACTCAGGTGAGAACTGAGCTGGCAGAGTTGCTATTATTACTGCTGCTACTACTACTATTACTACGTACTCTGGTGATTTATCTGTCCTGTGGGATCTGTTGTCATTCTTCAATACAAAATCTGGAAAAAGGGGACACTCTGTAAAATAAATAAAAAATAAAAGAACTGTACTATTACATTTAAAGAAGACATATTATGCTTTTTCTAGTATGTAGTATTAAACTGTAACATAAGTAGATGGACTAGCAAAGTTTATTTATATGGAACAATTTATACACACAGTAATTCAAAGTGCTTTACAAAAAAGAAAGTCATTAAAATCATAATACAAACAAATCAAAATAATCATCATAAAATAAACATTAAAAGAAAAGATAACTTTTTTTTATTTTGTTCATTCTAAACAGAAATTTCGTTAATAATAGAAACTGATCAAACTGTTCAAAGTGTATTTTTTAGAAGTGCCTTTTGGGAGCTTACATGTATCACTTGTAGTCTTATTTTTTTAATATTTGCAACTAATTACAGTTATGTGGATAGAGGGTAGGTGAAAACAAGAATTTTCTGATCATTTAAGCCTTGAATGTGATACAATACAGGTTTACTCAGTCATCCAAATACAACTAAGAGTGAGCTAATGAGTTAATTAAAAGCTCATAAGAGTTGATTTTGTTTAATCCTTAAAAGAAAATTAGCAGGTGAACCTGAGAGAAAATCTTAGTAGGAGAAATGGCAGCACATTTTCAAGTTAACAGTCTTTTAAATGCTACTAATCTGGCATTATTAACGTATTCTGCGAAGATTTACTACAGGAAATTGCTGCTGTTTTTCTACAACAATATATTTAGGTTGTGAGTTTATGAATAATGTCCTTTTAAGCCCAGTGAGTTTTCCAGAATGATGGTATTGAAGTCTTTTTACTGCATGCTGGTGGATAAGTATCTTCAAACCTGTTGCACTCAGGGCTTTGGTGGGTTGCCAGATAATCTTAAATCCCTCCTCTCTCCTCCCTTCTCTATGTGTGTATGTGTGTGTTCAGATGAGCTGCTGGACTCCCCCAACAGCAGCTCTGACCTGGCAGATGTAATGGAGCAGATTAACAACTCCTTCCCTGCATGCACTCGTAAGTTTTCCTCCTCCTCCCTCTCTCCCACTGTGCCTCCACAGATTTACTAAGATGATTTGAGAATGTTTTACGGGTCCGCACTAAACATCACAGCTAGTTTATGTAAAGTTGAAGTTTGCAACCAGAAGTCATGGTTCCAAAAGTTTGAAGTTGTCAAAGTTTTAATAATAAAAACTGGTTCTGCCACTTTCTTTCTCCGTGGAGATGTTATTGCTTTCTTTGGAATGTTCCACAGTGTAGCATTTATTCAATTACAAGTGTTTTTGTTACTAAAAGATTACTGTAAAAATTATGCATTCTACTATGAGCCAGAAGTTTGGACTTGCAAGTCGTGACTTGGACTACAGTCAGACTTGAGTCACTATTGTTAGGATTTGACTTGACTTGATAAACTAGACAAAGACTTGGGACTCGACTTGGACTTGAAGGTCAGTGACTTGGGACTTGTCTCGGACTTGAGCCCTGTGACTTGAGAAGACTTGATGCTTAGAAGAGTTGACAAATTAATTAAGCACTTTTAAATCTTAATTCTTTCCTTTTTGACTGTAATAATTAGCACTCTTGTCAAGGCATTTAAAACAGAAAAATTTGCATTTCTACAACTTTTATATAAATACTTATATATAAATATACCACAGCTTTTTAAGAACAGTTTAATTTAAAAACTATATAAACTGCAAAAATCTATGATATATTTGGTACTGTAAAGACTTGAAATGACTTGAAGCTCAAAGCAGATGACTCGAGACTCGACTTGGACTTGCCTGCCTTTGACTTGAGACTTGACTCGGACTTGAGGTCAAAGACTTGAGACTTACTTGAGACTTGCAAAACAACATCTTTGCTATGAGCATTCTCACCACTCCACAGGTTTTACTGGTGGATTGGCCTGTTGGCATCACCAGCTTGTTTCCATGTAGCTAGAAAAATATAATGCCGTACTATGGAACATTCTATCTATACAATAGCATCATTATGGAGACAAGCAGAGAGTTACATGGTGAACCTTTAAAATAATTACTAAAACAAGGCTGCATTTGTCCAATTCAGGGTTTTGATCAGAGGTTTTAGTGAGTATTTTATTGCTATGTGGTCCTATAGTGATTTTGTATCTGATGGAAAAAGCTTTTACCCCGAAACTAGATTATAGTTTGAGTCAAGGTCTAAGTCAGACCGTAGCATAAGGATGCACTCTCATTGGACTCTATTATGCCCTGGTTATTGCTTGAGAATCATAAAACTTCACAGTTGAGTATTTCAGCAAATATTAACTTCAAAGATATAGCGACTGTCTCCAGTGATAGTGATTTGAAGTTACAAGGGGAGAATCTGTGGCTCTTTATTTCCACGATCAAACACCTTGAGATTCTGGTTGGGCTGATAAAATATTCCACTTCCATTCATTCCTATTGGACTCTCCTCCCCCTGTCCTCACATGTCCTCTGGCTCCCATCTCTAATACGCCTTTTACACGGTCCAGTTACAAGTGGACACTGCGCTCCCTCCAATGCCTCAAGTGCACTTTGAGAAATGTCCAGGGATCGGGATGAAATCTTGCCTGAATGTGAATGAGATTTTGAACTATAGATCCGCCATCTCCAGTGACCTTCCAGCTAAAAGCAAAGAGCAGCCAGACCTAATAGCCTCTTGATAAATAGTATAATGTAAAGTGTATTACAGTCAAAGAGTGAGCGGGGTGGTGATAAATATAAATAAAACAGACATTGAATTATATTCAATTTAAATCAAGAATGAAATCTATCAGAGTTTGTTGTCATTAGATCATAAAATAAATCTATTAATGATTTATTAAATGTTTATTATGAATGAAATAAAAGTGGTTCTTCTATTTAACTATATTTTTAAAGAGCCCATATGACATTTCTGATCTGTGTTGTAATGTTGTTTCCTCATCAGAAATATACCCAGAGTTGAGTTTTGTTTCATTCACACAACCTACAAACCCTGCATACTTGTGTTCTTTTCTCAAACGTAAAACACTCTGTTCCACCTTATGATGTCATGTGGTAATACAGGAACTGCTCTATTGTGTTTTTAAACTCTATACTCCTTGACTAAAATCATTTGTATAATTTCATCATTTTAAGCTTTGGAAATCAGGATTAGTCAAACGTGTGATTGAAACAGGTATGTTTTTGATGAGAAAACAACATTCTAACATGGCTTAAAGCTCACAGGAGTAAATTTTGCATAATATAGGACCATTAACAGAATAAAATGCTCACAAAATGACTCAGTAGCAGAGTGGTTAGCTTTCCTAGTGGATAAAATTCAACAGTAAATTCTCCTTCCAACCAAAATATACTACCAGTTAGCATGTATTCCGTTGTCAGCTGACCTTGTTTACGGCGAATAGTTGCTGAGATACGTTTTTTATCGTCATGAGTCTATAAATTAGTTTGACCCAGTCCATGGCCATAAACACACACATAGATGTCTTCAAGGTTCGCACCTCAGTGGTAAAAGGATGAAATTAGAACTAAACCAGAACTAAACCAGGTCTAAATCAGGACTAAACAAAGAGAAAGGACTGAAATTGGGCATGAACAAGAACTAAACCAGAGCTAACTAATAATCAGTGGTGGAAGTACTTAATGCTGTTACTTTAGTAAAAGTACAGATACTGGAGCAAAATATACTCAAGTATAAGTAAAAGTATCACAAGAAAAAAAAATTAAGTAAAAGCATTAAAGTACCAATTTAAAAATGTACTTAAAGAGTCAAAAGTAAAAGTATTTTGCACAGATTTTGAGATCTAATAAAGGGTTAAATGTATTGATTTTGATTTTAGCTGAATTTCGTTCAACAACAAATGTGCAAATATAACCCCCTCAGACTTTCTTAGACAATAATAAAAAATACTTTTACTTTTCAGCCCTATAGTGGAGTGGAAAGTGCATATATATATATATATATATATATATATATATATATATATATATATATATATACTTTTAAATGTACAAAAATTTGTACTGAACTACAGTGCATTACTACTTGAACTCCGTTACATTCCACCACTGCTAATAATAAACCAAACCTTTATGGTGCACCTTAGTATCGCCCTGGTCTGATCATTGCACAAAACACAGTCACCAGTGGCAGCATAATAGTGATTATAATAATATTATGCTTGATGCGTTCTGCACTTTCTCACCACTGCTTCTCTCTATAGCCCTGTAAAATGAGTTATAATGTCAGAATAATTACGTCTACATGGATTTGCACATGAAAAGCCTGCAGTCTCGTAAAAAGTTTGTGTCGGGAGTCTGCAAACTTTTTATTAGGCCTCATCTGAAGCTCTTTTAAACATTTTTCATATAGCCTTGAAGGATTTTTGATTAACGGCATAATTTGTTTTCCCGATTCCATCAGGAAAACCTTAAACCTTCTGATTTCTTATACAGCCGAGTTTGAAAGAATATCTACCTCTGGGGATGTTAACCAAATAAAAGAATGAAACTCATTTTGTGCAGTGAGTTAGAGCACAGCGGACTTCAAATTGCGTTCAGATTTTAAGTGGGAGCTCCTATGAGGGCTTTAGTTAAAAATCCATTCTAATCTGGCAGACGATGTTGCTATTAGCGTTTGGTAACAGCCTAGCTCCGAGGCCGAGCTAGTGATATGTGGGACTGTCCCTGAGGCAGATCATGTTCTGTATTTTCTAATAGAGTTATGAAGTGTGTAGAGCAAGTGTTAAACTGTGCTTTATGTCCCTCCACAGCCCCCAGTCTCTCTCCACGACCACAGGTAAGAGCTTCCTAAATTAACTTCGGTGTACTCACAACTGTCTGTACTCAGATATATTGCCCCTGTCTTTACTTTGGAATGGTGGTCAGCAATTACAGAGCTAAAACTTTTTATCTAATACTAAAAACTATAGTTCAAGTGGCTTTCGAAAAAAATCACAGTGAGATATGTGCGGCACTTAATTGGATTGTAAAAAGTAATACCCACTAATGAATCAATAATAAAACTAATACTGGTCACATCTTATTGCTTTGCCCTAGAATGTTCCACAGTATGGCCATAAACTTTGCTTGAGTGCTCTCTCAGGTGATACCACCAGGCCGAGTTACGGGTCAGCTCTGTGGAGAGGCAAGTCCCGCTCTCACTTGTAAGAATGCTTGCTAGGCGTTTTTGATAGACCTGTTTAATTCAATACTGTGGAACATTTCAGGCAAAGCAATGACATCTCCACGGTGACCCTCCACCAGGATTGGTATTTATGGTTTATTTTCCCAATAATTCTACCCCAGTCCACTCTTAATTTATTGTTTGTCCTCCTGTGTGCACAGCTATATTTTGAAGTAATTGCAGCCTAATACGCACTAATGCACCCTTCGCTGGCTCCAGTCACTCTCTGGGGTGTTATAAAGAGACAGTTATGGGTGTCTGGGGACGATCATTAGCACCTGCTGTTACCTGTCCTCTGGGGCCAAGGTGCACTGTGGGTAGGAGCTGTTAGCCGGAGCGTAATTACTTGTCTGCTCCTGTTCCCTTCGTTTTTGAGTTCACGTGACCTTTACGTCACACGCACACTGCCCATATGTGTCTGTTTATTTTTCTCTTGAAGTAAACACTTGAAAAAGCTATTTATTCCAGCGTGTCATGATCTCCACGTCGCCACAAGCTTTTATCCACTTATCATTAAGAAGATTGTGTCTTTGTCAGCCATCGCACAATGCCAAATCATTTCTTTTGAGTGAACGGTTTCGTGTTGATTATGTTTTACAAAATTTCAACCCTTTTCACCCAGACTTCAAAGTTCTCATAATTATAAGTAGCTCATTTGCTAGCTCCATTTAGGCCCTTTTAGCCGGTCGCTGACACGCTCGGTGATAGTTACAAGTACACAAGAGGGTAATCAAACATGTTTTCAAATGTCTTTACCAAATACACAAATACAGAGAGCTTTTGTCAGATACCAAATTATTTCACTAACACATTTTAAGTAATTTGCTACTTGTCAGAAAAGTAGTTATTAAGTCATTTAAACTGGGAAAGATTAATTTTAAAACACTCATAATTTTGTCTTAAAGCTGCACTATAGGGACCTACCACCCGCTTTTCTCCCCCATTGCTTTGCCGGGAATATTCCACAGCATGGCATTAAATTTATACTTATAAATTACTACTTAACTATCTCGTTTACAGTTGATTTTTGTGCTCAATAATGAATTGCAAAACATGCTTTCTTACTATAAACCGGCTTGCCTCCCTATTGATCTAATCTGTAAATTGGCCTAGGGGTGTTACCTACTTGTCTCCATGGAGATAGATAGTTTTAATGCCATAGTGTGGAACAATTTAATAACATGTGGTTGGTTAAAAACTAAATTTGACTTCTGACAAAACTAAATAACACATCATATTGTAATGATTAAGCTACGTTAAAATAATTGAATTACAGATGCATTTCAATATACTAACAACAAGGATGTAACAATAACCAAAATATCAGGATATCGTATCGTCAAAGTTCTCACAATAATATCGTGGACCATCACAATATATTGAATTACAAGTCTCTTTGCTTAAATTAAGAGTTATGGTGCAGCAATAGATTAAAAAAAAAAGACAGAGGGAACCACATAGACCATGATCCTTTGCTCCATTTCAGTGTAGACTACAAGAAGAAATAACAGTTCTAAGCACTTTCAAGTCTTAGTTCTTTAGATTAAGTCTTGTCAAGGCATTTTAAATATCGTACTGTGAGATGTATATCGTGAAAATATCATACCGAGAGTCTTGGATATCGTTACATTCTTAATCGTGAGCCTCCCCACCATATCGTGAGCTTTTCCACGATATCGCAATAAATATTGTACCGTGAGGTTCATACCGTGACAATATCGTATTGTGAGACTTTGATATCGTTACACCCCCCACTAACAATTTATATTAACAATGTATTTATTTATTTATTTGGAAATTACACAATTATGGAGCAACTTCCTGATGATTGTCTCTCTGTCTTGCAGGTGATGTGATTGTTAGAGGGCGCTGTTGTGTTTAGTGACTGTCCAGTCGGCTCAGACCATTCTCATCCCCAGTCCAGACTCTGAATCCCAAAGACCTCCCAGGACCAGGACCGCACCCAACACTTTGTCTCGTACTATGCAATCTGTACCTTTCCTGGACAGTTCCACATTTGGTATTTGTGATTTTGTTTTAGAAATGCAGTACTCAGATATGGGGGTATGTTTGTACAGTCCAAAAAATATCTTTGTTTTACCTGTTATCTGTGCTTTGGGATCGTGCTCCTTTTATGTTCTGGGAATCCACTGTTACATTTTACGTGTTTTCCGTTGCTTTGTATTACCCGGAGATTCCAATCATTCATCAAAACTAGAAGCTACAGTCTGCGTTCCTGTTTTTGGGAACGTTACCATTCCGGAGAGAGGCTGTCATCTGCTCTGTTTTGAAAATAAATCTCGTGGCATGCTTGATGTCAAAACTCCCCCTTTAACGCATCGATGAACCGCCAAAACTTTGTCAATTTGTTTTGTAAAACGTTTCCCTTCTGTGCCTACACAATCTCCATACTACGTGGAAGATGGGACGATTCAACTGTGTACAAAAGAGTAAAAGTTTTGGAGATTATAGATTTAATTAAAGCTGATCAATCATTATTTAGTTTTTAATATATGTTTGGAAATCAGAGGAAAGCCATGATTGCCTTGCTACCTCAGACTACGTAGACACAGTTTTGTTTGTAGTGGTTTATAGACTCCACGTGAATAATGGTTTTTAAGCTTAAGTATCTGTACGCGGCATCAAGGACAAGCTAAAGATGTACCAAGTTGTATTCCAATGGGTCCTGCTGACGCTAGCCTCTTCTGTTTGAGTTGTTTTAACCACTGGCCTTGGTGCACCAGTCCCTCACTGCGTTGTGTCTTCGTGCTAAATGCTACTATCCTGTAAAACTTGTGAGACGGACCACAACACTACTTCTGAGTTTTGTAGTAATAGACTGGAGTAACATGAACTGAGCGTAACCAAGGCAGAACTGTGTCATCTCCTGAGGTATGTAAAATAGTCTGACCACACTACATGTAATATGGCGATGTTGTTTTATTCTGAATAAATTTTTATAACAATGAAATATGTGTGGAATTGCTTCTTTGGTGATTCAACTGTACATTCTATAGATACAACCACTGTCACTGTTATTACTGTTTTCAAGCAGGTCTCAATATTCAGCATTAAAGGTGCACTGTGTAACTTTTTTGGTGGAGCGTCTGTCAAATATTTTTCTGGAATGTTTCACAGTATGGTTTTAAACCTTTCTATCTTCATGGAAACCAAACCAGAGCAAGTTGCAGGTCTGTGGATAGGTGACCCCACTCTTAGTCAGAATGCCTGCTTTTCTAGGGATTTTTGAGGAGTAAAACCACCTGTAATTGAATAAATGTAATATCATGTTATACTGTGGAACATTCCAGTCAGAGAAATGCCATATCCACAGAAACAAGCAGGTGACGACCCTCAACGAAAAAAGTTATCACTGTAAGGATATAATTGAGACCAAGAATGACTTGAATTCTTCTAAAAATCCTTGGTTCATTGGCTTTTTTTTTTTTTACCTTGGCTACTCCACAATCATCAGGTATTGATACGTTAATGTGTTTGTTTCTGATTTGTAACACCACACTGAGTTATCAAAAAAGAAACTAATTTGAAACTCAGGTAAGCAAGTATCAGTTCTGCAAAATTTGGACAAACTTTTATTTTCTGTGTAGTTAAAAAACTAAAAAAAAAAATAGCAAAAAGTCAAATCTAGCCAATTTAAAATGACTTCAGTTAAGAAAGTTTTGTCTTGATGCAAGTAAATTTCTTCTGACAAGTAAAATTATCTACCAAGACTTTTTGCACTTAAAATTAAAAACAAAATCGAATGTTGCTCAAATTAAAACAAACAAACTTGTTCCACTGGTAGATAATTTTACTTGTCAGGCTGAATCTTAAATCAAGTAAAATGTTCTTTGTAATTTAAGTCATTTTAACATACAGTATTACCTTTTGTAGTGTGCTGTTATTCTTAATAACTAATATAAGTATTCTAGTATCACTTTCACCACACTGCCAGCCGGTGAGTTTAATTCATTGACTTTTCCCTTAGTTTCCATTAAGAGCTGCAACTGAACATAAAAATGTACAAGATAAATGCACTTCCTAATGCATTGCAGTCTGCACCCTCCTGATTCTTGCATTAAGTGTTAGAAATCTAAGAAACATATGCCTCCTCACATCATCTGCAGCCAGTGTGACCCTCTGCTTGTTTATGGAGGTATTGATCTCACAGTGAGGGGCTGCATCACATTTATACATTACCCCTGAACATGGGGTGCTGCCACGACTACTGTAGATGAATCATAAACACTAATTAGCTCAGTTTACCTCTATAGAGTTCAGATTTTTTACCTATTTTTGTTTGCTTACTTTTGCTCAAGAGTTATTTCAAAATTTGTCTTCCAAATACAAAAGCTACTCTAAAAATCCTCTAACAGACACATACAATGTACACACTTTTGTTCTGATATGATTTAGCCCATAATTTATCAAATGTATTGCCACACCTTGCCAAGAGCTGTTTTACTGTACTGCTTTACTTGATTTATCCTATATTGTAACTACCAGTATACAACCTATGCTAAGCTTACCACTAATAGTGTCATCCACAAAGGTCTGAATCCATGTATCGTTTGTTTGTTTTTCAAATTAAAACCAAAAATAAGAAAACAAAAAAGCAACTATTTTCTTCATTAATTCTAAATTAATGAAGAAAAAACAAAATCTCTAAAACCAAAATGAAAAAACAGATTTTTTTTTTTCAGTTTTCGATGTTATGTTTAATTGAATAATGGAAAAAAACGGATAACGACTGTTTCTCGTTTCCGTGACTTAAACTGCGAATAAACCAAGACTGAATCAGAACTAAAACAGGACTAAAACAGGACTGATCCCAGGACTGTCGGGACGGGCTAGAAGACTGTCGAGTGATCAGGACTGAGACTGTTTTAGACCTGGTCCAGTCCTGTTTTAGTCCTGTATTAGTCCTTTTAGTCCTGTATTAGTCCTGTTTAGTCCTGTTTTAGTCCTGGTTCAGTCCTGGTTTAGTCCTGGTTCAGTCCTGGTTCAGTCCTGGTTTAGTCCTGGTTCAGTCTGTATGCGGCGCAAAAGTTTGGCATCGCAGTGTAAGTCATGGAAACGGGAAAGGGCCACTATCCGTTTTTTCCATTATTCATTTAAACATAAAATGAAAAACTGAAAAAACTAATTGTTATCCAAGACATACTGCCATACCGGCTTGTAAACGCCTGATCCCATCAGATCTCAGAAGCTAAGCAAGCGGGCCTGGGTAGTACTTGGATGGGAGACCACTGGGAATTCCAGGTGCCACATTGAGCGCCAGTGGCAAAAAAACTGTCGTTGTATCCTTAGGCAAGACACTTCACACACATTGCCTAGTATGAAAGAGGTGTGAGTGTGAGTGATGGTGGTGGTCGGAGGGGCCGATGGCGCAGATTGGCAGCCTTGCTTTCGTCAGTCTGCCAAAGGGCAGCTGTGGCTACAGTAGTATCTTACCACCACTGAGTGTGGAGTGACTGAATAATGAACTGTAAAGCACTTTGGGTATCTTGAAAGGCGCTATATTCATTCATTCATTCATATAATGAAGAAAATTGTTTTTTTTGTTTTCTTATTTTTTGTTTTATTTTGAAAAACTAAAGAAAGAATGATACACGGACTGGTCTGTTTTATTACTTTAATGTTTTGAAAAATATTACTGAAAGCATAGTAGTATAAAATTTAAGTTTACTTAATTGCTAGAGCTAAATTTCTTACACATTTGTATTCACGCTTGCACATGTCACATTGAAACTACAACTAAACCAGAACTAGAACTGGATCAAACTTAATGTTCATCAGGGTTAAACTGGGCCAAAAACACAAAGTTCACCACGTTCCTCTCCTCCGATTGTCCTTCTCCATTAACACACTTTATGTCAAGTACAGCCCTTACAACAATTGTTCTATTTTTCTTTCACACTTCACCGATACAACACTAGATAATTGGGCTAAGGGCCATTTTTACTCCTCCTCCTCTCACACGCTTTAATTGGCCTCTTACATAACATTCCACCAGAACCACAATGTCTGTAAAGGCCCAAGAGTTTGCATGGAACATAGCAACCAGCATGTAAGACATTAGTGTTTTTGCTGCTTCTGTTAAAGTTAGGTTTCTCTGGATTTCATTATTTGGATTTTTATATAACGTATATTAATTTAAAGGAGCGCGATGTAACTTTTCTGGTTAAGTGTGCACTATCTGTTTGTCTCCATGGAGATGTTATTGCACTGTATTTGTTTAGCCCTTAAAGTGACAGTTTGGAATTTTAGACATAGGTCCTCATTTCCTAGTGAGCCAGAGTGTTGGAGACGTGTGGAGCAGTGTTGGGCAAGTGCTGCTGTATCGAAAGAAAGAGTATTTTTGGTGTATTTTACTTAATTATTTTCTTACAGCTCTACAGTTTTGTTGTTTGTTTAGTGAAAGAAAAATCTTTTATGCAACACATTTGACATTTTCACAGTTTTTATGATTAAAAGGGGTGTGTTTCATATGATCTTTGCACAAGAAGTGGTTTAACAAACTTTTAGCATTACGGCCATGATTTAGCCATTTTTAAAAATTGAATCATATCGAATCGATTTGAAATATATTGTATCGAACCGAAAGCTCACTGTATTGAGGTATGTATCATATCGTGGCCTATGTATCGAGGTATGTATTGGCAACTTCTTAATGATACCCAGCCCTAGTGTTGATAGAATAATGTTTAAAATAAAACAAACCTTGCATTGCATGAATCGTCGCATGTTGAGGGACTATTTTCTCATATATCAGTCTGCCTCTGCCAAGCTTTCTATCAGGAAGTACAACTCCCTGCTGCTGCTCAGACGTAAATCCTTCAAATGCAAGGTTGGTTTTACTTCTAAAATTATTCTATTAACACAAACATTTACATTGACAGTCTGGTGTGATAACAGATTTGCTTCAGGTGTTTTGTGGAGTGGGTAAGACTGTTTTTAGTGTCAGGATAACTATGGCCATTGACATGCGCTAACCTTGCACCAGCGACCTCTGCAAATGCAAGGACTGGATGGAATATTTAAAAAAGTGTCTCCACACATCTCCAACACTCCAAGGAAATGAGGCCCTATGTCCAAAATTCTGAACTCTCCCTTTAACATTGCTTAACAAATACACGCATTCTTACCGTGAGCTTGGTTGCCTCTCCACTGATCTGACCTGTAACTGTAAACAAGCAGGTGCTGGACCAGTCACCAGAAAAGTTACACCATGCTTAAACTTAAATGAGGTGAAGGTGCAGACTTAGTTATTATTTGTTTCTAAATATACAAATCCAATATTATACAAGAATGCAATTACACCATTTTATGAAAACATAATTACAGATTTTATCTCTGAATATGAAACTAATTAAACTCAAGGTACTTCTGTAAGCTGTAACCTAGACAGGGAAATTATTACATACTTTTATCATATCCATATCTGTGAATTGAGAGTGAAAGTGAGGCACTACACTTTGCTAAAAAGCCTTTAATTACCAGTCACATCAACACAAGCGCTTGGTGGAGGTTTTCTCAATAGTATGTAAAGTTGTATTACCTGGTAAGTGACACAGGTAGAAGATGAAATTAATAAATATACATAAACACACATATTTGTACTGTGAGACACTATTTTGTCAAAGTGGAAAATGTTCCAGATAATAGAATCATCAAGAGCTCTTCTTCTTTTCTTCTTTCTCACCTAAAAGAATATACGAAAAAGACTGTGGAAAGATTGTGGCAGAGGTGGGGACTTGCAAGTCGTGACTTGGACTCGAGTCAGACTTGAGTCACTATTTTTAGGACTTGAGACTTGATAAAATGGATTAAGACTTGAGACTTGAACTTGAAGGTCAGTGACTTGAAGACTTGAGAAGCATTTTTAAATCTGAATTCGTTCTATTCTGACCATAATGATTCACTGTAAGATCTTGTCAAGACATTTAAAAAGGAAAAGTGCATTTCTGT